CGCTGTATGAAACGGGAGACTATAATATGAATACTTCACATTATAACTAATCACTGAATGCATGTCTGCCAATAAACATATCCTCATTGAAATGGGGGGAATAACATTATGAGAGGTCGTTCATCAATAGGCCGTCAAACAGAAGCTAGCGCGGACAAAGGCATTTGCCGATTCCAAACAGTGGTAAGATATAAATCAAAATGGTTGATCGTAGAAGTTGACACACAGCACGTGATACTGTTGTATGAACATGTAAATGACTTCCTGTAAGTTAATTCGATGTATATTTCACGTAAAGACGTAGTGATTTTGAGTTCTTTAGTTGTCAGGGAAGCACTCAATCAATTCCTGGTATCCAGTTCAATGAAATGACCCTGCAAGTTAAAGACAGTTACTCGTTCTGAGGATTTCATTTCTTAGTGGGTTTAGATTTGGTTCCATGGCAAGGAAGCAGGCACCTTTGTGGTGAAGAAATGGTGATCACTTCAGTACAACCAGGGAAACTAGTTGGTTGGTAGGTTTGTTGTTTAGCGCCGCACTCAGCAATATTCCAGCTATATGACGGCGGTCTGTAAATAATCGAATCTGGACCAGACAATCCGGTGATTGATATCATGAGCATCGCCCCACGCAATTGGGATCGATGACATTACAAACCAAGTCAGCGAGCCTGACCACCCGATCCCGTCAGTCGCCTTTCACGACAAGCATAGTCACTTTTTACGGCAAGCATGGGTTGCTGAAGACCTATTCTACCCCGGAATCTTCACAGGTCTCCAGGGAAACTAAGCCAAAGACGGCGGCATTGGTGAGTGAATTTGGTTTGACGCCCAGTCGGCAACATTCAGGCTATATCAGGGCAGCCTATAAATGACTGTGCCACTCGTCGGGGTGCACTGTTTGTTTGTTTGTTTAACGCCAACAATTTTTATTCCATCACATTAAGTTCTCCTGTATTGATTGTGAATGTAGGAGAACGCACGCCATGAAAAACAGTTGAAATAGTCATCCATACGATCTGCTGTTGATGGTTAATTAACGCTGGTTTTATTGTTTTTGTTTTTTTTAACGCCGCACTCAGCAATATTCCAGCTATGCGACTGCGGCCTGCAAACAATAAAGACTGGACAAGGACATCCAGTGATTGACATTATGAGCATCGATCAGCGCAATTGGGATCAGAAGGCATATGTCAACCAAGTCAGCGAACATGACCACCCGATCCCGTTAGTCGCCTCTTACCACAAGCATGGGTTGCTGAAGACCAATTCTAGCGCGGATCATCACGGGAGTGGAGGTACACGACGCCAGCCTGACAGTAATGTGTTGTTATCTGATCCCCGTCTATTGGCTCTCAGGACCTATCCTGACCCGGAACAATTAAGGGACCTTCTGTAAGCAACTAAATTGATCAAAAAATTTCAACTATATTAAGAATTTCCGTGCAACCGCCATGATTGTGCATCATCATACCCAAACATGCTTCGTTGTTAATGCTATCAACCACTGGTTTATCTGGCCAGTGAGTGAGTATGGTTTTACGCCGCTTTTAGCAATATTCCAGAATATCACAGCGGGGGAACCAGAAATGGACTTCACACACTGAGCCCCTGTGGGGAATCGAACCCGGGCCTTGAGCGTGACGAGCGAACGCTTTAACCACTAGGCTGCCCCACCGCCCCTTATCTGGCCAAGATACCGTTATTTACAAGACGTCGTGATGTTGCACACGGTGATGCAGTAGTGCCGTTTCTGGCTGCAGACATAAAACACAATCAGTGGTTCACACAAAAAATACAAGCAACGTAAATTATTCAGTCACATCACTCAACGACTCAGCTGAGTCGATGGGACATTCAAGTGTTTAGAAGCCCTTCAAATAAAATATCAACCGTTTTGTAAATGATATTAATTCAATACAATACCCGAGTGCTCATTCATACGACTAGTTGTTTGATGCTGGCTGGTTGAAACTTGGCATGATAGAGGAAGCTTCAGGGAACGTGATTGATTGAATGTGTTATCTTATCTTGTCGGTCAGGTCCGGAAAACTCCTCGGTGAGCCCCGTCAGTCAGTGTCGTCTTTGAGAGCGCCATGAGTGCCGCACATCACTCAGAGGCCATGGAATATATTACCACGCTTGACTAGCACTGCCAACTTGAGAACCATCCATATCGGTCAGCATTGATGACAATACACAGCACTGCAATATTGACACGGGTTGGTTATTCTAATGAAATGCCAAGGAAATGGCGCCTGGAATGAACATGTTCCTAGCTTTTTAGGATTAAAATTGCTTAGAATTTATAGTCTCTATAATTTCAACTTCAAGAGCATGCATTCTGTGTTCTTTAATATCCTGGAAATATTTGGTTTGGGAATTGCAGCATGATTATTTCCACGTAAAAACTGGTTTGACGAGTCTGACTTGACAACTGAGTTTTAATCTGCGATGTGTGACAACTGTAACTTATGAAATAGTTTCTGATATCAATATATCCGTTTAATCTGTTCCAAATGTCTTGTGCAACTTCGGTCGCCATAGGCAACTGATAATTTGACTTTTAGGGGTTCTTAAACTCGTGGTTCCACTCCCTGAAGAACGCGTGGGTGTCCCAGACGCTGTGTTTGTTGTAATGTTTTAGATCTCTTAAGAAATTCCACCTTTGTGGTACTGAGTACTGAGAGAACATCTCTTGTACCGTCACCTCATTCTGGTCACAGTGCCAGGAGGACAGTAGCATTGTCACCTCATTCTGGTCACAGTGCCAGGAGGACAGTAGTACCGTCACCTCATTCTGGTCACAGTGCGAGGAGGACAGTAGCGTTGTCACCTCATTCTGGTCACAGTGCCAGGAAGACAGTAGCATTGTCACCTCATTCTGGTCACAGTGCCAGGAGGACAGTAGTACCGTCACCTCATTCTGGTCACAGTGCCAGGAGGACAGTAACATTGTCACCTCATTCTGGTCACAGTGCCAGGAAGACAGTAGCATTGTCACCTCATTCTGGTCACAGTGCCAGGAGGACAGTAGTACCGTCACCTCATTCTGGTCACAGTGCCAGGACAGTAGTACCGTCACCTCATTCTGGTCACAGTGCCAGGAGGACAGTAGCATTGTCACCTCATTCTGGTCACAGTGCCAGGAAGACAGTAGCATTGTCACCTCATTCTGGTCACAGTGCCAGGACAGTAGTACCGTCACCTCATTCTGGTCACAGTGCAAGGAGGACAGTAGCATTGTCACCTCATTCTGGTCACAGTGCCAGGAGGACAGTAGCATTGTCACCTCATTCTGGTCACAGTGCCAGGAGGACAGTAGCATTGTCACCTCATTCTGGTCACAGTGCCAGGAGGACAGTAGTACCGTCACCTCATTCTGGTCACAGTGCCAGGAAGACAGTAGCATTGTCACCTCATTCTGGTCACAGTGCCAGGAGGACAGTAGCATTGTCACCTCATTCTGGTCACAGTGCCAGGAGGACAGTAGCATTGTCACCTCATTCTGGTCACAGTGCCAGGAGGACAGTAGCATTGTCACCTCATTCTTGTCACAGTGCCAGGAGAACAGTAGTATTGTCACCTCATTCTGGTCACAGTGCCAGGACAGTAGTACCGTCACCTCATTCTGGTCACAGTGCCAGGACAGTAGCATTGTCACCTCATTCTGGTCACAGTGCCAGGAGAACAGTAGTATTGTCACCTCATTCTGGTCACAGTGCCAGGAGGACAGTAGCATTGTCACCTCATTCTGGTCACAGTGCCAGGACAGTAGCATTGTCACCTCATTCTGGTCACAGTGCCAGGACAGTAGCATTGTCACCTCATTCTGGTCACAGTGCCAGGAGGACAGTAGCATTGTCACCTCATTCTGGTCATAGTGCCAGGAGGACAGTAGCATTGTCACCTCATTCTGGTCACAGTGCCAGGTGGACAGTAGCATTGTCACCTCATTCTGGTCACAGTGCCAGGAAAAACAGTAGCATTGTCACCTCATTCTGGTCACAGTGCCAGGACAGTAGTACCGTCACCTCATTCTGGTCACAGTGCCAGGAGGACAGTAGCATTGTCACCTCATTCTGGTCACAGTGCCAGGAGGACAGTAGCATTGTCACCTCATTCTGGTCACAGTGCTAGGAGAACAGTAGCATTGTCTGAATATAACAGTTTGGACAACTTTTTTATTACTGCAGAGAAACAGGGTTGGTATAAAAATATGTATATTTTGCCTTTTGTGTAGTGATGACATTGGTGTACCCATAATTCAGACAGTGGAGTTAGTGAGTGAGTTTTTGAGTGAGAGAGAGAGAGATACAGTTATCTCATTAAAATCAGATCTTAGTTTTCGCTACCGCTGAACAAAGATCTGAGGACATCCCATTACGGGTCACGTCTAAGGATGAGGTAAGATTAGAGTCATGTTGGTCCACTCAGAATGTCAAATATGACAGTTCCTGGAAACGTGACTTAAAGTTGTTAGACATGCTCGAAATTTATTCTGTTTTCTTTCATCCACTTTACCTGAAAATATTACAAGCAAGATGTTCTTTACCAAATACAAGCATTGAAATGAATTTGTTTTTGAGACATGAGATAACTTTCAAATGGATTTCTAAGAGTTTTGTCAATTTCAGAAGTTTCTTTTGACACAATGGCACAAAAAAGACCTTTACCACACCCCTTCCTATCAGCGTAAACATAGGACTCCATAAAGAGCCATTCATAAGGACGAACATATTTTGTTCCACTTGTGTGAAAAAAGACAAGGAACCATACAAGGAATTCAGAGGAGTGAGTGAGTGAGCATGGTTTTATGCTGCTTTTAGAAATATTCCAGCAATATCATGGCAGGGGACACCAGAAATCACACATTATACCCATGTGGGCAATCCAACCCTGGCCTTTGGCATGACGAGCGAAATCGAACAACTTGGCTTCCTGAAATCAGAGCAAGTCCCGTACAACAGCATACTTGTGTGCAAGAAAACAAGAAAAATGTACACATAATTCAGTTTATTCAATCAAAATGTTCACTATTCTGTGACATTTTGACATTATTCTGTAATGACTATACAAATACAAATATCAATTGCAACAATAAATATATAAATAGTATTCTTGTATTGAAACGTATATATTTATCATTAACAAATCTTCACCAGACCATAATAGGTTCTCAGCATGGTACTACCCAACCAGACAATTGCACAGATGTAAAGCGCATATTCAAACATTGGGTTTTTATGGTGTACTTTAATCAATGCACATTACAAAACAACCAAGGTTCTCACACCACAGCATACTGCGCATCACTTTATACAATACTTCATATCATATTCCTCATCCCTATTAGAAACTGTATCCTGTTGTTAATAGAACAACCCTAAACATTATTTGATAGGGTTTTCAAATAGCTGTGCTGTGTTAGCTGGTGCTTTTGCCGAAATCAATCAAAAAGTTTAGCAGGTGAGATGAGGTCAAATGGGATATATCCTCTGGTTCAAGATGATTTCACTCATAAAGGGATGTGCATGCACATGTTTGTGTGGCTGCTTGTACTAGTTCGGACTAATGCCAGTTTTAAAGTGCTAGCCCACTGAGATACCGACCAGTTTTTGTTTTTTCCCTGTAATGCTGAACGCCTGACAGGGTAACAGGAAGCCCTGTCTTTCAGATTGACGTCCATGAGTTTGACGTCTGCTCTCCAAGCAGATGTTCTATCCTCTGGACCACAGAGGCAGTCCAAAGTCTAGCACAGATACCAAACCCAAATGGAGGAAATAAGGAACAACTTGAATATTTGGGGTTTAAAATTAGTAATTTACCCCAAAAATGATTTGCAATCATAATTAGCAAGGACTATGGTGATCGTGAAAACAAATTATCATTTACATTGTATTTTATCCCCAAACTCCTCAATCTGCAAAACTATGTACCGACTGAGACAATCACGTATTAATTGGTAATTGGTTGTATTGACAATGCCTGTAACTAGGTCAATAATTAGCTTAATAAAAGGATGGTTGTTGGATAAAATCTGTAAAGTTTTACTTTTTCACATTGGCTGAATTTTGTAAGATATTGTATTGATTCTGCCCAAACTTTAATTTTGGCCATCTCTGGTTACGGCAAACACACTCCTATTCCAAAGGTTGTCAGCTTCTTGTGTAAATGTCTCAAAGTATGTGTAAAAATTAGGTCCTATACTCTAGAAATATTTTTATGAAGGAGTATATTTTTCTTAGAAATTTCAACATTTACTTCCTGTATTTATGTTCAACCAGTTCAGGATTTCAAACTCTGAATAAGCGGTTATGAAATTGTTATAAAAAATATCAGATGTGTTCATATGATGGAGTACTAGTCTTTGCTTATTTCATCAATAAATGCATAGGTGTTAAAAGACTAATTTAAGGGATTTTCAGGAAACGCTTATTTTATAACATTTGAACATTTTAGCCGTGTATTTTATCCCGTCAGAGGTCCAAAACTTGCAAGTGTCAGAAAGGAGAAAGACTGGTTGTCAGCTATGTGAACTCTCCTGATAATGTTTATAGCAATACTTTAAAATTTGACAATTCCAGTGGTTCCCAAAAGACCCTTATCCTAACCAGTCCTTTGTGATTTTCATTTCATACTGACAATATTAATGCCAAAGCAAGCATAACTAAAGTCGAAGTCATTGGTCAAATCACTTGACATTCAAAATTAAAAACAAGAAAAGAGTCCAGAATTGGATCCCTTTCCATCCATCACCTTTACTATGAAGGAATAACCTAATTACCTTTTTCACTTTTGACATATTTCTTACATATATGATTACACACTGACTTAAGTTTCATCCATCCATCCTCCCATCCATCCATCCATTCAAATCCGAGTCTCAAAATGTCTCAATCTTTCACACTCCCTCCAGCACTGGCAGTAGTAGCAGCAGGTGAGTACACTGACTTTCTCTACATCTTTTCTATGATGGAAACAAATTACATCACTGTGGACACACTTGTCCCACGGGCATGTCCTTCACAAACTGGTCACATTATCATATAGAACACCTTGAGGTGGAAAGGAGTGTGAACCTTTCTCATATCTGCACATGTGCAGCTTAATCTCACTGTTAATTGGTCATGTGAAGCCATGCGATGTCACACTGCTCTGTTGTTCATGCCATCACAAATTACATCACCAGAACAAACTTAATATTGGGTTGACATTTCATCTGAATTTGTCCATTTTCTTTCTTAGAAACGGCAATGAAACTCAATGATTCACGGACTATCTGTTGTGAATGAATGCCATGACACCCTCACAAAAGTCTCGAGAGTTACATCATTTATTCATTGGGACAGATAGTGAGTGAGTTGGGTTTAACGCCGCTTTTAACATTATTCCAGTTATATCACGGCATGTCAGCTTAATGTGGGAGGAAAGCCCGAAGTGCATTTGGACAGATAATCTGTGACAGTATCTTGTAACTTGGGAGTCATCTGTAAAACTTCCCACTGCGATAAGGCTATCTTGTGTTGAGACAAATCTGTCGTTTGTCTTTTCCTAAAGGTGGGAGGGAGCAAGGCTGGGTCTGTCTGGTGATCACTGCGAGAACAGGCTGAGCTGGATGAGAGGCACAGCCTGTAACGTCGTCAGATCTGCCAGCACCGCCTGAAATATAGACAAATATAGAAGAAATACTATATATCATTTACCATATCATTGTCTGCACAAGTCTGGCACCAACTCTGACCACCAAGCGAGGACTTGTTATTGATGAGGAGCTTTGAAGAAGAAGTTTGAAGTGGCTTATACTAAAGTTCCTAATGCTGTGTATCTTTTGATCAGATATATGAGATGGCCTTTGTAATTCTATTTTCAAACAACCCTAAACCTTGTCACATTTCACGATCAGCCTGCTCACAAATACCGTCCAAATCCTTCCTCTCTTCTCTACACAAATAAAACCTTGTAGCTCACCTGACACAACATCCATAGATTTTCAACACAGATTTGAGACTAATGAGGGCTGTAAGTGAGTGAGTAAATACTGCTTCAAGCAGCAATGACAATCTCATTAGGGTTGTCAGGTGGTGATAAGATACACAATACAATATGTACAAAACTGGCATTTGTCAAATTAAGGAATACATTAAGGGAATGAAAAGAGGCAGCTGTTAGCTCATCTGAACCAACAACCCTATTTTATACAATATTCTTTACACAGATTGGGAGATCAATCATGAAGGGTGTTTATGTCTGAGACCATACCCTTGTACAATGAGTATCTCCATAGTAGAGCCTTCACACACTCAGTATGATACTGACTTGATACTTGTGATGAGCATAGCATAGCATAGCACCTCCTCCCGAGGCAAGGGAGTTAACTGACTATAAAAGTCCAGTTTCGACCCTTGCCGAACTAGGTTACATTTTGGCTGGACTAACGAGTCTATGCATAGTCCAATCAAAATCGCGCACCGAAATCCAAATCCGGTTCGTAAACTGTCATGCAGATTTCGGTCGACTGCAGGATTTGCAAAGCATGTGCGCCGCTAACACGTTGCCACAGATATTTTCTAAATCTTTTCATGTTCTTAATCAAGGTGCTCACGTGATTAGATGTACTTCGCGATGTAAGACTCGTCTTGACTGGGCGCTGCTGTTTTGTTTGAAGCAAATGCAAATGATACGCGAGATGGAATCTGATTGGTCCATAGGAGAGGCATAGAAGCGACATAACTCGTAATAGCCACTGGTGGCGCTACGATGGAGCCCAGGAATTCCAGCCTAGTTCGTCAAGGGTGGAAACTGGACTTTTAAAGTCAGTTAACTCTCTTGCCTCGGGAAGATGAGCATAGCATAGCATAGCATAGCATAGCATAGCATAGCATAGCATAGCATAGCATAGCATAGCATAGCATAGCATAGCATAGCATAGCATAGCATAGCATAGCATAGCAGTTCATTAATACTGGACCCGTGGAGATCCGGGTTAGAATAGGTCTTCAGCAACCCATGCTTGCTGTAAAAGGTGACTGTGCTTGTCGTAAGAGCTGTAAAAGGCTTGTTGTAAGAGGCGACTAATGGGATCAGGTGGTCAGGCTGGCTGACTTTGATGATGCATGTCATCGTATCCCAGTTGCGTGGATCGATGCTCATGATGTCAATCACTGGATTGTCTGGTCCAGACTCGATTATTTACAGACTGCCATCACATAGCTGGAATATTGCTGAGTGCGGCGTTAAACAACAAACAAACAAACAAACAAACAAAAAATCCATTCAGTGGCCTGCAGTGAAGGAGAAAGTTCTTTGTCCATTACCAGAGAGTAGCAGTACACAGTTTCTGTAGTGTCGTGGTGAAGTATATAGGAGGAGCAAGCAGTCTCACAATATGTGTGTGCAGGCACCACCAACATTTCCAAAACATTGTCTCCCGTAACAGCGAAAATCTTCCTGTTTGCACATCATCGCAGCCAACAATTTCTCATTTGTTAATGTCTTCCTGCTATACAACTCATAAAATTCTTGTGGCTATACATTGTAATAAGTATCACAATACAGACCTCAGTATTTCATAATACTGCAATACAAGATTCCTTGGCATATACAACCTATAGTAGTGTTGGCAAGGTGAGCTAAACACCTCAACCATTCCCCATCTCAATCACTGTTGACAGAAGATCTACCAGACAGACATTCACACCTCAACAGGGCCTAAAACAAAATGTCGCAAGACTTACTTGGTAAATGGAAACGTCAGTGTCTAACACTGACAAAGGTCAAAGCAGATATCTTCAAGCGACACCTACCTCAGCAGCATTAAATGTCTGCACCTTCATCAGGTTCGTCTTACGGAATGAGAAGATGGCCACGGATAACACTGAAACACGCAAAGATGACCACTGGTCAGTGACTAGGTGCAAGGTCACTGGTCATCATCAGCAGACAGTATGAAAAGCTATTTTTATTCCATCACATTAAGTTCTCCCTGTATTGATTGTGAATGTAATGGAACGCACGCCATGAAAAAATTTAAATAGTCATCGATACAATCTACTGTTGATGGTTAATTAACGCTGGTTTGATTGTTATTTTGTTTAAAACTGTACTCAGCAATATTCCAGCTATATGATGGTATCCTGTAAATAAACAAATCTGAACCAAATAATCCAGTGATTCATATTGTGAACAATGATCCATGCTATTGTGGTATGATGACAGGTATGCCATCAACGGCGTCTGACCACCCAATCCATTTGGTCACCTCTTATGACCAGCATAGCCTTGTCGTGACTAATTCTAACCCAGAATCCCCACATGGATCAATTGTAACCCAGAATTCCCACAGGGATCAATTCTAACCAAGACTTCACAAAGGGATCACTTCTAACTCTGAATTCCCACATGGGTCAGTTCTAACCTAGAATTCCCATAGGCATCAATTCTAACCCAGAATTCTCACACGGATCAATTTTAATCCAGAATTCCCAAAGGGATCAGTTCTAACCTAGAATTCCCACAGGGATCAGTTCTAACCCAGAGTTCCCACAGCATTCGATTCTAACCAAGAATTCCCACAGGGATCAATTCTAACCCAGAATTCTCATACGGATCAGTTCTAACCTAGATTTCCCACAGAGATTAATTCTAACCTAGAATTCCCACAGGGACCAATTCTAAACTGGAATCCCCACAGGGATCAGTTGTAACCCAGAATTCCTGAGGGGATTAATTCTCACCTAGAGTCCCGAACAGGATCAATTCTAACCCAGAATCCCCAATGGGATCAATTCTCACCCAGAATCCCGAACAGGATCAATTCTAACCCAGAATCCCCAAGGGGAATTAACTGTAGTACAGAATAAAAAGTGATGAGCTGTGACAGTTGTGTGAATCAGGTCAGATTGAAAGATATACGCTGTGAAATTTATATTTATGTTGCTGGATCACTGGGCAAAAGTATATGTTCGGTGCAAATATTTGGATGATTTACGACTTTCCTTTGAATTTATTCTTTCCATGCCAATCATTCATTAAAAATATATTCATATGACTTTGACTAAAAGAATCTGATGTTTTGATTAAAGAAATGAAACGTGCCTTTTTTAACTTACAAAAACCTCCCTCTATATGAAATACTCACCAGGAATGATATAAACTCCTATCTATTGTGTTGTATTGCAACAATCAGTGCAATCAGCAGTTGGAGGTACAGCCTCAGGAAGAGTTTATTTTGCAGGCATAACTTTCAATCTACTCCATGTCATTTTACAGTAAATTCCTTCATGATACTCAAACATGTTTTGTTATATCCAACAATCCATGTGGAGACTACATAAATCATACAAACAACTCAAAAATCGAACCAATACAACCCAAATCTAACATATCACATAGTAAATTACTACATTTCATTACAGAACCACAGCTGACACAAAGCTGGAGCAGTTGTCTCCCTTGATACCAGTAAATTTTTACCACATTTGCTTCAAGACAACATGAGTGAGTGAGTTGAGTTAAACGCCACTTTTAACATTATTCCAGTTATATCGCGGCGTGTCAGCTTAATGTGGGAGGAAAGCCCGAAGTGATGCAGGTCTCAGACCTTTACCACGTCGGTGAAACCCACGAGCACGGGTATGGTGCTTACAAACCTAGAAACATAATCGTGGCGAACCAGTATTTGAACCCACAATCATAGGTTTGTGGCGTGCCCAAGGAAGTCAACTCGGCACAAATCCCAGCGCCTTAGACGACTGGGCCACCCGTGCCCCCTACAACATGAATGAACAATGAATGAGCGAGCAAAGGAGCAAACAGAAATATACTAAATGAAAGAAAGAAAGGATGAAAGAAAGAAAGACAAAATGTATTCCTTTGTATAAATGTGAGTCCCCTTTACCAGGCAGTATTTCCAGGGACCGGTATGCCAGGATCCTGTCCCACAACAGCAGCACCTGCTCACTGGCCAGGAAACCAGAGAAGGCTCTCATCATCCACTTGAATGATATTTTCAGTCTGAAAGTAGAACGCATTTATGAGCATTTTCTTATGCGTAAGTACTAGGGATGGGACGAGTACAAATTTACTACCCGAGTACCCTCCCCGCTATTACCCGACCCTACCTGGGTACCTGTGGAAGTCTAAAGATTAGGTACAAAATGTCCGATTGGGAATAGTTTGACGGTAGCCCTGGCAAAATGTATTTAGAAACATGTATAAAACGATCTGGTCATGTGTACACTGATGTTGACTGAAGATCTTTATTCAAACCTATAAAGGTCAGAAGGAATGCGTGCATAGTCAGGAAGAAATGGAAACATTGGTGACTTGTAGTGTAACCACAGAGCTCCAGATAATTTTTGTCATTAAACAAAATGTCACGTGACCAACGACGGGTCCTCCTCAGAACCCACCCGACCCAAATACCCGAGTTACCCGTCGCAGCCCTAGTATGTACAGTTGTTGGAGACATACATTGTATGTCCTGGTTTCCCCCGCTATACAATACAGACATGTCACAGAAGAAAAGATACAGATAACTGACTTGAATATTGTCCGAATATCTGAGAAAGACCAAATTTACCCCCCCTGTTCATAAAGTGGACTTTTCGAACATTGAGTACCGGACAAGATAGAGATCAGATAATGAAAGATATTGCATTGTGGTCCTGAAACATGTTTTGACACCTCCTTTCCGAGATATAAATTCTGTGTCTTAATTAAGAAATAAACGATGAATGGGAGTTGTTTAATCGTAGAATATAACACTGCAGGGAGAATAAACCACAAGAGTTTTATTGTACAATAAACAACTCCCACACAGAATTTATATCTCGGAAAGGAGGAGTCAAAACATGTTTCAGGTCCACAATGCAATATCTTCCATTGTCTCTATCTTGTCCAATACACAATTTTTTGTGTGTAAAAAACCTGACTGCAGATTATTGTTGCCAGCATTTTAAGCAACAGGATTTTGGCCACCATTATTTTCAGGCAGCCAAGAGACGAGTGGACAACGATGGCAGCTGTAGTGAACTCTGTGAAGTGCCTGTGTAGGTAACAGCATTCAACACGTTCTCCTAGCTGACACACTGACCTCTCTATATCCCCAACATCATGCCAGTCAGTTACTACAAGAATAGCATCCTTGCCACTTGGAGAATCTCTGCAAACAAGGCTGAAGAAGTTACCTCCCTTGATTGTGATGCACCAGTTCCTTCAGGCCGACATGTTAATACTGAGTGAGTTTATGATGTTCATGCCAAGTCTGCAATATTCCAGCTGTATCGAGTGGCCACTCTCCTACCCAGAGTTCCATGCGGCCGGCAGCCAGCTAGCATAGTACCTCTGCCACAGGCCAGCGCCATGTGACGATTCGTCACATCTTTCACAGTCCATTTAAGATATTGCATATGCTTTTCATCCGTTTCATGTTTGACAAGTCTACACATTTTCATAAACAAATGTCAAAGAATGGTTAACTTTCATTGAGAATGTATGCAAATACGTAAAAATCTACTTGTTTTTGTGTAGTTATCCTATGTTTACATTGGTTGTACGGCTCCACGTGCTGTCATCGAAGCCCAACGGAGAGCTAGCGACACGGTCACTTTGATGCATAAATATATATTGTCATGCAACTCACTGTCGCAGTTGTAGTAGCATATCTATATAGTTATGCAAAACAATATGTAAAGCGCCCCCAAATACTTGCATTAGTCCGTTCTATACTGATTTTTGAAAAAGCGAGTTTGTTTACAAACCAGTGAAAACTCCGGTCACGTGATATGCAAATTAGCCTGTGGCAGTGGTGTTATGCTGAGTCACCACTGCTACGGAGTGTATCGAGTGGCCTGATATCAGCGTGGCCATGAAACACTAACCACGACACAGTACAGCTGAACACCACAGCCAAGTCACAGAAGTGAGCACCATCAATTGTTGGCTGTGAGGACAGTCATGAGATGCAGGAGACATATTCTGCCCTGAATCCTCACTGGGTATCATGGAGAGAGACACTGATACACTTCAATGCGTCAGTGTAGGCAAGAAATAAAGCTGAAAACGGCTCTGTAGCTCAACTGAATTATGAACTACTTTTATGGCACTTCAATCTTATTTGCCTTCAATTTTTCATACTGAGTTAAAGAAAATTTGGTACAAATGTGTCGGTGTTGGGAAATGAAAGTGGGCAAATCAGTTCCTGAAGGATTCCCCAAGTCCATGAGAGGGTGAACCTAAAGAACTCTCAGGTATCCACTGATCGATTACCCTGGCAGAAATACTGCAGAATTTGCTCTTTTTGTGCAACCAATACAAGAACTTCCATTGAATGGTGATGAATGGTGATGTAATGCGCCAAAAGGAATCCAAACAATTGCACTGCAAAACAGGAATAATCTGCAGTCATGCTTGCTGTAACTACTGAATATTAGTGTATTCTTGTTAATGCAGTTCAGATATTTTGTAGCTTTTTGGATGGGAATTCACTGTGCAATTCACAAGCCTACTTTTGGAAATAAATGATGGATTTTGTAAAGTAATCAGCCACGGAATTTGAACAACACAGTGACAACAGGGACTGATGAAAGTCAGCTTCCACGTGGCTGTTCAGGTCCTGCCCCACACTGAAGCACACGTAGCACATGTGATGGATGTCTCCGTGGGCAAGTGACTCACCAAGCAGTTAAAAATGGGTACCCGGTAGGATGAAATGGTAATGTGATGGTAAAGCTTGGACTGAAAACTCCCCAGGGAGTCGAGAATGAAAATCGAGTGCACACTGATCAATTGACAGGGGTAATAATGGCAGCACTTTGTGTATGGAGGCTAGTGCAATATAAGTACACACGTAACATTAATGGGAGTTGTGCACTTTACCGGGCGCACTTTTTCAGATCCAATTAGCACTTAGGGGGCTCGAACATGCCTCGTCAGTTCATCGGCTAGGCTCATCACATGTAATCAGTGCTCGTTTAATGGGTCATTAGCAACCCCTTAACGTGCATGCGTAAGTATGTAAAGAATGAATTGCGCATGTGTGAGACGTCACTGTCCGCCCTCCCATTCATCTTTTCTTAAAGCCACACCCGCCATTGTTTATATCAACATGACGAACCAGTCGAGCAACGCTATGGTGTATGATGATGTGTTTCGTATCACGTTCGATGTGATCACTCTCGTGATTACTCTAATCGGATTACCAGGATTAACGCTTTGAAAAGGTAAGAATTTATGGCTAACCCTTGCCCTAAGCAGGCTAACCCAAGGGATTGAAAAGGGGTTTGGGATCATAAAGGCGTGTCAGTTTTCCTAAGACTGAAATTTGGTGTTGGATCGTAAAGGCGTGTCAGTTTCCCTAAGACTGAAAAGGGGTGTTGGATCATAAAGTGAGAACCACGGGAGCCACAGTATCGGTATAGCAAGACAGCTGTTGTGCTACAGCGCGGTAAATGAGCGGATGGTAGCGCTTGGGCTGCGCCCGGTTATTGCCTTATTAACATGCAATCTGAATACAACAACTGGTCATGAACATGCATCAGTATACACCAGGTTTGTACTCACGGCTGACACCCGACAGACTTGAGGTGGTAGAAGAGTTGAGGTTCCTGTTCCTGAAGCAGCTTCTCAAACAGCTGACTCAGCCCAACGATACCCTGTGGACAAAGTCACCTCCAGTTTTGTTGCTGTTGTTTTATGCCATTGTCAGTAATATTCCAGTTAAATCATCTGGGTATGATGACTCACAATCAATCTGGTAACCTAGACTGATCACTCAATCCTATTCAGCTTACTCTCGTGACAATAAATATTGTGCCAGTGACCAAAGCCCAGGTCACCACAGTGTTATAGACCTCTGTTTACAACAACATGTGTGTACACACTGAAATGAAATATGATAAATAGTACCTATTTCTTTTGTACAAAAGAGTAAATGCATTGTTGTTCTACATTGGGACTCATAATGCAAAGTCAGCGATGCTTAGGAAATTGGTGATGAGATATAAAGCTGAATTACATTGATTATTATGGTTAGATAACAAAGATAATATAGCCAAAAAATAGCAAAATATCCAGCCGGTCTTACCTCTGGATGAGAGGAGACGCTGTGCAGGCGGAAGAAGTACTGCATGTAGAGCTCCCGGTAGACATAATACAACTTGACTGGCTCCTTGTACAGGAAGCACAGAGGAGACACTGAAACACATGGAACAAGCTGAAACATCGGGAGGCACTGAAACAGATGAGATGCTGAAACACAGAGGAGATGCTGAAACAGAGGAGATGCTGAAACACAGGAGATGCTGAAACACAGGAGACACTGAAAGGCAAGGAAGTTGACAGAGGAGATGTTAACACAGAGGAGATACTGAAACAGAGGAGGCACTGAAACAGAGGAGATGCTGAAACACAGGAGATGCTGAAACACAGGAGATGCTGAAACACAGGAGACACTGAAAGGCAGAGAAGTTGACAGAGGAGATGTTGACACAGAGGAGATACTGAAACAGAGGAGGCACTGAAACAGAGGAGATGCTGAAACACAGAGGAGATGCTGACACAGAGGAGATACTGAAACACAGGAGACACTGAAAGGCAGAGAAGTTGACAGAGGAGATGTTGACACAGAGGAGATACTGAAACAGAGGAGGCACTGAAACAGAGGAGGCACTGAAACAGAGAAGGCACTGAAAGGCAGAGAAGTTGACAGAGGAGATGTTGACGCAGAGGACACACTGAAACACAGAGGAGATGCTGACAGAGGAGACACTGAAGCAGATGAGACACTGAAACAGAGGAGATACTGAAACAGAGGAGATGCTGAAACACAGGAGACAGGACCAAATGAAGTTTGAAGAGACAATGAAACATAGAAGAAAATCCAAGCATATCTGAAAAATATTCCTGACAAACAGCTTACCATACATGGCGAAGCCGTGGAAGGGGATGACCCCATTAGGAGGGTAGAAGACAGCAAATTCCTCAATCCCTAGCTTTCCCCTGATATACGACTTGGGGGGTGTGGCGCTGCTCTGCTGAAAGTGCTTCAGGATATGGGTATCTCGGGAAAATGGCAACAGCACCTGCAGGAAGAAAGTAGCAGCACCTGAGAGAGGAGAATCTTATAAGAACACATGGCAACAATTATTAAATAGAAGGCTTGTGAGTGAGTGAGTGAGTGAGTGAGTTGTGTTTAACGCTGCTTTGAACAGTATTCCAGTCATATCACGGCTTGTCGGCTTAATGTGGGAGGAAAGCCCAAAGTGATGCAGCTTTTAGACATTTACCACTTTGGTGATACCCACAAGCATGGGTATGGTGTTCACAAACCTAGAAACATAATCAGGGTCAAAAGAGAATCGAAAATATGATCATAGGTTCGTGGCGTGCCCAGGGGAGGCAACTCTGCACATCAGGTTGCAGCGCCTTAGGCGACCGGACCACCAATGCCCCCACCCCCAAACAATCAGTAAACCTTATGAAGAACTTCTCATAGTCACTGTTTCTTAAACCTACCTGAAACTTCTTGATAGACCTCCCTTATGAAATGAACCTTTATACTACCAACCTACCTCAAATGGTTCTCTGCTCATAATATGTTGTTGCAACAATCAAAAATAATGGAAACTAAACTTTGAGAAGCATTGATCTTCAAGTCTGTAGTTCTTCTTAAGAATCCATAACAGAGTGTTTATTTGTGGGGGGGGGGGGGGGGGGGGTATGACTGTGTTGAGTGTCGATTTTGTTTAGTGTGTAGCCTTTGACACTATGCATGTCAACATCAATGACAGAACAATACTGAAGTATACAGTCAAAGCAATGATTAACGGAATAAGCTTTTCGCTTCAAAAGTGTGAGTCGCTCCATGGCTGAAATAATGCTGATGTGACGCTAAATTTTAACACACTCACTCAAAAGTGTGCAATGTTTTAAAGTAACTTTGTTCTACATGCCTGGTACAGGAAATCCTCAAAAACAAAATACTGGTCATCATTTGTAGCTGTTAGTTTCACATCCTGAAACACAGAATGTGATATATCAGTACACAGTCAGATGATCACACACTGAAACACAGAATGTGATATATCAGTAAAGAGTCAGATGATCATGATGATCACACACTGAAACATTGAATGTGATATATCAGTACACAGTCAGATGATCACACACTGAAACACAGAATGTAATATATCAGTACAGAGTCAGATGAACACACACTGAAGATGGGTGGGTGAGTTGGGTTTAACACCGCTTTTTAACAGTATTCTAGTTATATCATGGCGTGTCAGCTTAATGTGGGAGGAAAGCCCGAAGTGATGCAGGTCTCAGAATGTTTATCATTTCAGTGAAACCCACGAGCACGGGTATGGTGCTGACAAACATAGCAACATAATCAGAGCGAACCGGGATTCGAACCCACAATCATAGGTTTCTGGTGTGCCCAAGGGACGCAATTCTGCACAGCGAATCGCGGCACCTTAGACGACTGGGCTACCCATGCCCCCCACACACTGAAGAACTTAGAGTACCTACAAAACTTGTAAAAATAGTAATGCCCAAAGGGTGAGGCAGAAAAAGTGCCCTTTCTCACCAGCTGTAAATTTCAAATCTTAACATTTTCAGAAAACTCAAATATGGGTCTCGAAATTATCAGGCATGTTCAAATGGCTGACAACTTACCTTATATAACAAGTTGTCCACCAACAGGTCATGCTGTAGTACGTTGGCCTTCAGTTGGTCGTAGTACAGCACATCCTACAAGGGGAACATGAAAACACAAACCACATGTGCACATCTCTTACATTTCTTTAATTGCTAATTAGTGCCCATTTCCTCTTTGAATAGTCTCCCTGGTATCACGTACATAAATATATATACCGTATTCGACGTAATAAGCGCCCCGCTCTAAAAAGAGCCCACGGCGATATTTGATGATATATTGGCTAGTGAATAAGCCCAGTTAGCATCCCTTCTGATTGATCAATGTAGGACTTATTTATTCGGGATAATACGCACTCGTGTGTTATATGCGTCCTTATTTATGGGCAATTAAATTCTGGAAAAATATATCCGTTGTACATAAACATTTCAGGCTGTCAGCATAAACCACGAAATTTATCATTCAACTATGGCTTTTTTCACCAAAATAATATTCTAATAAGAGCCCCATATTTCTAATTTTGAGAGTGCCCTGGGCGCTTATTACATCGAATACAGTACTCAAAACAAAAAGTAAACCACCTCCTGCATGTTTAATGATGGAACACGACTGGAGATGTCTTCCCAGAGATGTAACCAAAACAAAATGCCACGTGACAACGTCTCAGGCTCCGGATCAAACATGGAATAGTAAGCTGCCACATTTGATCTAAAGCAGCATCCAGTTCTGCCACAGTCTGGACTGGGGATCTCTACATCAGATTTGCCATGCAAGAATGTCCCACAGGTGCCTCATGGGATATAAGATCCAGGCTACAAGCAGGCCACGGCCGAATTGTAATGGCTTCCTGGCATAGAATCTCTATCACAGCTCGTGACCTGTGTGACCGGGCATCATCTTCCATGTACACAGGCCTCATCCACTATGGGTGGTTGTCATAATGAGGACCATGGCTGGATTCAGGACTTGATTCTCATACCTTCATCCATTTAGGGTACCATGCACAGTGACCAGATCTAATTTGCAGTCTATGAAATGGCAACCCACATTATAACAGATTCACCACTGAATGGATTTGTTTGTTTGCTGTTTAGCACCACACTCAGCAATATTCCAGCTATGTGACCGGGTCTGTAAATAAGAGTCCGGACCAGACAATCCAGATATGGACATCATGCACATCGATCAACGCAATTGGGATACGATGACCTGCATCAACCAAGTCAGCAAGCCTGACCACCTGATCCCGTTAGTCGCCTCTTACAACGAGCATAGTTGTCTTTTACGGCAAGCATGGGTTGCTCAAGACCTATTCTACCCCGGATCTTCACGGGTGACCACCGACCACCGAATGGAATTGTGTTTATAATGTTTGTGCCAGGAAGCCGGATTCCAGTGTCTCCATATCCCTGCTATTGACCAATCAGATTCCACCCTACATATTACATGTACTTGCATTTGCTTTAAACAAAATGGTGGCGACCAGTCAAGACAACCTGATAGATAATCTCAAATCTATATTGTCTTATTTCACAAAGTGCATCAAATCATGTAAGCACCTTGATTAAAAACATGAAAATATCTGTTGACGCCGAATGGACGGTACACATGCTTTGCAAATTCTGCAGTTGACCGAAACCTTTACAGCAGTTTACAAACCAGAAGTTGATTTCTATTATCTTGATTGGATTATGCATAGACTCGTTAGTCCAGCCAAAATATAACTCCATAATTCCAGCCTAGTTTGGCAAGGGTGGAAACTGGACTTTTACAGTCAGTTAACTCTCTTGCATCGGGAAGATGCACTCACCTTGACATTTAAGAACAGAAGATGCACAATTTTCCTTGCACTGTGTTTTACAATTGTTAACATTACAGTTGAGCAGTTGATAAGTAATAACTCACCACATCATCGACCTCCACCACCAACATCTGACACCAAAGATCGCCCCGCAAACTGACTGGGCAGCCTTTCTTTGCATACTCCTGTGCTAGAGGTCCGTGGTTGGCTTTGATAACTGTACACAGACATTCACATTATCATTCACTCAGTAACACAAAATCTGAATACCAAGCAAACTGTTTTCAGTTATTTATGCTAAAGGTAAGGTAAGAAAATAAGCCACTGAAAGAAGTGCCATAATGGGTTGGTGGGTGGGTGTTTGAATGAGTTAGTTTTTGAGTTAGTTTTTGAGTGAGTTTTTGAGTGAGTGAGTTTTTGAGTGAGTGAGATTTTGAGTGAGTGAGTGAGTGAGTGAGCGAATAGTGAGTGAGTTTTAGAGTGAGTGAATAGTGAGTGAATGAGTGAGTGAGTGAGTGAGTGAGTGAGTGAGTGAGTGAGTGAGTGAGTGAGTGAGTGAGAGAGGGGTTTAACTAGTAATATTTCCAGTTACATCATGGAATGTGGGCTTCATGTCGGAGGAAAAACCTAAGTGTCTGAAATTAACTACTTCACTGAAACCTACGAATACAGACATGGTGCCAACAAACCTAGAAATCTATTCGGGGTGAACCAGGATTCAAATACACAAACATATCTTTCTGGTATGCCCAAAGGAGCAACTCTGCACAGCGAATTCCAGCACCTTAAACGACAGGGTCACCTGTGCCCCAGACTTTCTAAAAGGACTAGTGACAATTCCTTGTGGATTATCACTTCACCAGAAGGGTACTGCAACTCGAACAGATCACTTCTTGCAGACAAGTGAAACCAAAATTAATTTCTAACCCTGAACGCTCGAATTCTAACCCAAAGTCAGCAGATACTGGCACATATAAGGGATACAACTCAAATTGCAATAATAGTAAAAATGTTCACAACAGTAACTCAAAATGGCACACAATCAGTTAGGTCATGCCACAACCACCAGTTCAGCTTAACACATAGATTGCTTACCATTTTTGCCCAATTTGACTCTGTCCAGTTCGAACAGTTCGGCGGGGATGTCGGTGTAGTCGTCCACTCCGGTCTGGCACTGGTTGATGGACATGTCGCTGTACTGCAGTCTCTGACAGAGGAAACAGTGAGTGGTGAGCCAAATATCAGCAGTAGAAATGTGGATAAATGTTCAAGACAAAAAAAGTATTCAGTTGCCAAATTCCCCCGCAAATCCGAAATGAAGTTTGGCTACTTATACCCCAATTTAGCTTCATTGCCATTGGATACTTTCAGTTCAGAGAAGAAAAAAATAATGCTGTTCAGAATTTTTCAATTTTCAATTTCTTCAATTTCTGGGCCTGATTGTAGCGCCACCAGTGGCGATTACGAGTTATGTCCCTTCTGTGTCTCTCTTATTGACTAATCAGATTCCACCTCTCATATCACTTGCATAGGCTTCAAACAAAATGGTGGCACCCAGTCAAGTCGATCTGATTGATAATGAAGATCCATACTGTGATAAAACTGATCCTACATCAGGACGTGCATCAAATCACCTTAGCACCTTGACAAAAAACATGAAAAGATTTGGAAAATATCAGCTGACGCCGAATCAGCAGTACACTTACTTCACAAATCCTCAATCGCCCCAATCTGCACAACAGTTAACGAACCGGATGTCGATTTCATTACGTATTTTGATGGGACTATGCATAGACTTGTTAGTTCAGCCAATATGTAACTCCGGAATTCCAGCCTAGTTCCGCAAGGGTGGAAACTGGACTTTTACAGTCAGTTAACTGCCTTGCCTCAGGAAGATGCACTCACTATTTCATTCAATGTTCAGGCAATGTGTTTTCCCAGTTTATTTAACAAAATAGGCATGGCATGATGGTCATATACCAGAAACAGTGAACTTGTATGACGTGTATCACATAATGTACTCTGGAATCAAGCAAAATGGAGTTTTTCATCCCCAAGATTAATGCCATGATCAGCAATATTACAGTGACATCAGTGGAAACTGTTAATCCTTCCTTTGCCTAAAACCACAGGTTCTATGGTTGAAAACTCAGAATGTAATATAAGCCGAAATATTCTGCAAGCTAAATGACTGAAGAAAGGCCTGAAGGTATTGACCCTGGATGAGCATCCACACAATGGATGCAGCCTTGTGGTGTGGTGATGTACAGTGACAAAAGTCACAACTAATACCGATATAATAAGTCTTTCTTCCTTGGAAACCTAGTGAGAGTTATTCAAGAAGTGATCTGTATTTAACATAGAAACAATTAGGGCTTTGTCAAACCTTCACTCACCAATTCATTTATTTCCTTGACTTTTAATGGAATTTGAATGATGCCCCAAAAGTTGTAGAAACTGAAACAAGAGAGAAACAGTGATAATTTAATTATTCTAGTATCAATGCATCCGATTGCTTTAATCTAAAGGAAAAATAATTGCAACAAAATATTTTTTTGATTGTCTAAGATAATATAAACTAAAGATGTTGTCAACATTGTTTGCAATATGCAAGACCCATATCTCTATTCAGTGGCCAGTTGTCTACTGGTTATTTTCTTTGCAAAAATGATGTGGTACAAGGGATGATATACCATATATGTCCGCAGATAAGCCGAATTTTGAGGACCAGAAAAAAGATTCTGTAGAAAGAGGTCGGTTTATCCACGGGATACACTTTCATGAAAGTATTTTTCAGATCGTGATCGGTCAGAAACATCGCCTGAATGACGGTCAGATAGATTACAACTTGTATTGCTACAGTTCAGTCATCCATCATACTTTGACACTTTGTTATTTCGCTCTTAAGCATCAGTTTTTCTTTAAGGGGTTAGGGTTGTATGTTTTTTGTTTAGTGCTGCAGAGCAATATTCCAGCTATATGACAGACGTATGTAAATAATCAAGCCTGGACCTGACAAACCAGTGATTGACAGTTTGAGCGACGATCCATGCTGTCAGAGTTCGATGATATGCCAACCATGACATGGACATGGGCGGATCCAGAGGGAGTTCAGGGGGTCACGACCTCCCCCCGTTTTGAAAACTAAATGTAGTATGTTGTAGGCATTAAAAGTGACAGGGAGGATTTTCATATTTTGGTCTCCTCCCTTGGGACAAGCATGGGTACCTGGGGCCCTACTCCAACCTGGACTCCCCAGGGCTTTAGTGCTTAGGAATATGATGTGTCCAAAATCTTCCTTCCTCATCATTCATTACATTTGTGACCCGTGAAGATCCGGGGTAGAATAGGTCTTCAGCAACCTATGCTTGCCATAAAAGGCAACTATGCTTGTTGTAAGAGGCGACTAAGGGGATCGGGTGGTCAGGCTCACTGACTTGGTTGATGATGCATGTCATAGCATCCCAATTGTGTGCGTCGATGCGCATGATGTCAATCACTGGATTGTCTGGTCCAAACTCGATTATTTACAGACCCCCATCATATAGCTGGAATATTGCTGAGTGCGGCATTAAACAACAAACAACGCACAACATAACATTTGTGGACAAGGGTTTCACAGAAACCAGGAGTCCTGCACATTTGACACCACTTTCATTCAAAATACTCTGAATATTTCAGATGAGTCATTACTGAGATACTTTTTATGAGTGAATGGAAATACACCAAGAGACTATGGCAAAAATGCAGGGTGTTCATTATGTGTAGATGCTATCCAAACCCTGCATGCATATAAAGAATGTGCATGTTGAAGTGAACTTATTTCTGCATATTATATCTCAGTCTGTTTCAGACAAGATTGTGCAATCCTGTAGGAAATGAATGACAGTGGATGTGGTCACAGTCAGACTTCCTTGGTGAAGATGCAGAAGCAAAACATCTGAAATGTCATCATCGCTGATGTGATGTGATGTGATCATCGTAATAGCTGAAATGCAGCAAAAAAATGTTCAACCAAACACCGCATATTAGGCCCCATATTTTTTATTAGTTGGTTTTCAAAACTATTGGCCTAAACTTCAATGTATGTGATCGAAAATATTTAAACATGGCAAGATACCCAAAAATACTGATTGGGTTTTTATTGCTTGAATAAAGATTTCTATTGTATTATTCACTATTTCTTGAGAACAGCGGCCATGAAATCTCCTGTATTTTTATTAATTTCACCTTATTGTAAACAGACTTTTGTAAAAAATCAATGTAGTTTTTCTTTTTCTATTTTCAAGGGTGTTTCAGTCAGTCGGTCTTGTAAACCAACTGAAAATATACATTGCCCCAGGTCGTGTTTTCCTTACATTTGCAATAACAAAAGCAGTCAAAAACGAAATTTGGTCTCGACTAAAGATCTTTACTGAAATTTCCTCTCTTTCTACTTTGTACAGTGAGGTCCTGTTACCTTGGCGCCGGAGTAGTCTGATAGTTGGTGTTCTGGAGACCGATGACCACCTCCAAGAAGTCTTTGGGTGCGTACACTGGACGGATCTGGCTGAGATCTGTGCAATGTCAAGCGGATCCTTAAACATCACAAATCTACAAAACACATTGTGACAAGTTTGTTAGGAACAAAACTAAGCTTTAGGGCTTACAATATTGACAAAAAGTAATTGGAGGAATGACTGTAATGCTCGATTAAATGCCCAGATGCATTTGACGCAATAAAGTAAAAGTAAGCATTGAAACCATGATCTGAACCAGTTCTTATTCACTGTCCTGTTAACACTGAAATACATGTCACCTATGCAAAGACTCACATTAGTCAGAACTACGACTTGGGAATATTTGAATTCCAATTTAGGAATTTGGACTGACGCTTTCTGCAGATTTAGGGCCGAATATCAGCTTCTGAGCAGGTCAAGATAAATAGATCCCTTTGTAATGTATTCAATTTGCACTCAAGACTGTCAAACACTCATAAAAAAAGTTTGACATTAGCTTGGGTCATGGCTGACAAAATGTCAGAGGTTGAAAATATCTTGGAGGTACACTGCAAATCTGTGATGAAATAGAATGGTGCAATTTTCAACAATTTGGTGCATGTCAGGGAATATCATTAACTTCCTTGCATTCAAATCATATCAGTGTACTTTGGTCACATATTTTAGAAGGAATTACTTCTAAGGCTAAAAAAAATAATAGTCTTGGTTCTCTAGCACTGCCCGCATCATCATAAAGTCTGCCGCACGTTTGGTTTTTATTTCAATTTAAAAAAAAATACTTAAAAACAATGAGATCCAATATAGCACACATTTCCTCCCCTTTACATGCGCACTGCTTTACTGCGCATCTTGTGTTACGGTCATGGCGGCAATAGGAGTTTGTATGCTTGTTTATGTAGGGAGGCCCTTTCCCAGGTTGATAGTACACAGCTGTTTATTTGGTTACATACTAGTTTGAACAAGCCAAAAAAATAGCCCACACTTTATTTTCAAAGGTCATTGCCTGAGAACCAATTCTTTTATTTTTTTAAGCCTAAACAAACGAAGACAAATCAGCATGGAAAACGCATTTTGAGACTGAATGGAAGAAACCATTTTGAAGAACAGGGTACTGAAGTGGAGCGTGACACAGTGCACATGGAGTTCACAGTCTACCTGTAAATGGCAGAGCACCCTCACGCAAACCCTCCACCCCTGCTGTTGATATGGACTGCACGGATTATGCAGATGCACAGAATGCTGTCAGGATGTGATGTTTCTCCAGTTTGTACCGCAGTATGTGCACAATTCAATCAAATCCACAGTGAATAAAACAAAGTGCACTACATCAAAAGACAGTTACACAACGAGTCCTGGCTCAGCATCTGCCCACTGTCCATAGCTTGACCACAGCAGTAGTTCTAGAACTGTCATGTGGTCACTGTACACGTAATGAGATTAGCTCAGTGGATGATCTGTCCCCAGTGAATCCAACAGAGCATTACAGATACTACAAAAATAAAACTTGTGCGTATCATCAAAATATTGTGAAGTAACCCTACGTATTCGATTAGCAAATGAGCAACTTATTTTGAAATTATAAGTTGGCATTCCATCAAGCTTGCCAAACTCCACGATGACAGTCAGATCATGATCATTTGCCATCACACTTTCTTGTGGAAGTATCGTGGTATTTTTGAGTCCTATAAAGCCCTCGAACCCACACGAAACCAGTTTGCAGGGACTAGATGAATAGTGTTTTTAAATATTTAACTTAAATACCCACATGTGTAAAAACCAGTGGGTAACAGAAATTTGAATACGCAGATAGAATTAATGATACCCAATGATTTTAAAATGCATGGGTAAAATACCCACAACACCAAAAGCTTATCTGGAGCTCTGATCCAATTTTATCAAATCAGATATTTTACTCTGATGCGATTCCTCTGTGCCTGAGATGTGAGGACAGCTTTATAAGGGGTCATGTGAACCCTGACGGAACACTGACTGTCCAGTTTAACAAAAGATGGGTGCATTCTTGGGCCAATCACATGCCAGCTATTTGGCTTCATTTCTTCACCATTCCAATTCTGATAATTCCAATTGAAGCAAAAGACAGGCACCACATAACACAAAGATGACCCCAGTAGTGAACCCTTTTGGGTGTAGATGCTATGGTGGTCAGAAACAACAGGATGTGTCATAGCGCAGAATATCATTTTGGTTTCGAAACTCCCCAGTCATATGAATGTTTGAGATACAGAAATCAGATATGCTTCTCTGAATGCTTTTCTCACTTGTATCAGGAATTAAGAATCCTCAACGCTGATTAGGAAGTTTATCTGATGTGACCTCCTTTGGAGGTGTTGTCAGATCTTCACTCCGAGCAGTATCCTATCAGAGTATAATATCTGATTGGAGTTAAACCAGAGACTGTAGCTACACTGCCCTTGGTCTAGACTTGCTTCACTATTAGCTACATTAAGAGCTACATCAACCATGCTCCAGTTGACTGTCTATCTGTAGCAACACTGTCCTAGCTCTACACTTGTTTCACATTTAGCTACATCAAGAGCTACATCAACCAAACTCTAGTTGACTGTCTATCTGTAGCTACACTGTCCTAGATCTAGACTTGCTTCATAACTAGCTACATCAACCAAACTCTAGTTGACTGTCTATCTGTAGCTACACTGTCCTAGATCTAGACTTGCTTCATAACTAGCTACATCAAGAGCTGCATCAACCAAACTCTAGTTGACTGTCTATCTGTAGCTACACTGTCCTAGGTCTACACTTGCTTCATAACTATAGCTACATCAAGGGCTACACCACCGAGCTCTAGTTCACTGTCTATCTGGAGCTACACTGCCCCAGGTCTACACTTGCTTCATAACTAGCTACATCAAGAGCTGCATCAACCAAACTCTAGTTGACTGTCTATCTGTAGCTACACTGTCCTAGGTCTACACTTGCTTTTTAACTATAGCTACATCAAGGGCTACACCACCGAGCTCTAGTTCACTGTCTATCTGGAGCTACACTGCCCCAGGTCTACACTTGCTTCACCGCAACCGGAGGCACACAGTCACTGCAACCAGCATGCTGAGAACCAAGATGTCTACTCACAATAATTACCTGGACCGTCAGTGCCCAGTTCGGTCCAGCGGGATGACATCTCACGCTGCTCTCGCTCTGGGCGCTGCCAAAATATACACACATCGACAGTCCAAGTTACAACTCTTCAAGTGATTCGTTAGACAAATTCATGATTTAATATTTGGTATCAGTTCATTTACAGCACCTACGCATCTAAGTTAAAAATACACACACACATACACACAGATTATTTTCAACAAATTCTCAAAACTATGTTTGGTGGATTGAAATTTGCCATTCTCTATCATTCAGTGGGTTATACTATTAACATCAGATGTTAGTGCTCACCCCCATGACACAAAGATCTGAGGACATCCCATTATATACCGCTATTCAGACCAACCAGAACATCGCTTAGGATGACAAAAGTGAAAGTCCAAATGTGTTTTCTAAAATGCAAACTCAAAAAGATTAACAAGTGGCATTCCAAAAGACAGTTACAGTTTGTAACAACTCAAAATCATCGTTTATCTCTCACTTCAATAGTATAAACATTTGACATGGAAGAAACTTTCCATAGCCAGTGGGAAGTACTGCCATACATTCTTCTACATCTATTAGAGGTGAGGTGAAATGGGGTTTAACGTCGCGTCCAAGATTATTGCACTTATATAGCGACTTGCATGCACGTGTATGTGTGTGTGTGGCTGTTTGTACTAGTCCGGACTGATGCCGATTTATAGTGCTAGTACACTGAGATACCATGCCGCAGTTTAACATGAATACCCCACTCAGACATAGTATACTGACTCCGAGCCGACCAGTCCTTGTTTTAACCCCTTAATGCCGAGCGCCAGACAGGGTAACAACAAGTACCATCTTTTAACGTCTTTTGGTATGACGCGGCCGGGGATCGAACTCCAGCCCTTCCGCTCTCCGGGCGGATGCTCTACCACTAAACCACGGAGGCGGTCTTCCATCTATTAGATATTTCAAAACTTTCTTTTGTTCAGTTGACAAATTTTGAATTGCGAACATCTGGACTGGAAGTCCAGTGCAGTATAGCTCGCGGAAGCTGCTTTCCGATTCATCATTTTGTCTTTTTTTGTTTGTTTGTTGTTTAACGCTGCACTCAGCAATATTCCAGCTATAGGACGACGATCTGTAAATAATAGAATCTGGACCAGACAATCCAGTGATTGACATCATGAGCATCGATCCACGCAATTAGGATACCATGACATGTATCAACCAAGTCAACAAACCTGACAAGCATAGTCGCCTTTTACGTCAAGCATGGGTTCCTGAAGATCTATTTTATCTCGGATCATCACGGTTTGCTTTCTGATTGGCTAATACCAACTTCCTGTTAGTCATTTCATTGGTCGGTCAAAGTTCACAACGGTCCCTCTGGGGCGACCAGGAATGGGATATCCTGATAACGGTTTCTAGTGGTAGGGAGCACAAAGACCTGATTTTAATGAGATTGGAGGGATATGTATCCAGTTTACTTTGAGAAATACCCTGACCCCTTCACCACCAATACACACAAATGTAGAGGGAGAGTGCATGGGCGCACATACCCCTTTTTGAAGCTTTTGAAGCATGCCACCAATATTGACATCTACAAAATAAATCATTGTTGATGTGGGGTTTTTTTAAAAAAGAGACCACTTAAACGACTTTTTGTTTGCTAACAAATGTAAATTGCTTCCCAAATTATGTTCCAAATTATTACGACTTCAAACTCCTGACTCTGACAGATCAATGCATTCACGGCACAGCTCCCCCTTATCTCCAAGATTTGATCTCAAGCAATAGCTGTCCGTGCACTTCTATGAAATGATCAACTCCTGCTCAACAACCAATCTTACAAAATGAAGTCTTTGGGTTCTTGAGCATTCAAATATGCCACTCCTACTCTGTCATCTTTAAAGTCAAGACTAAATACACAGCTCTTTCAATGTTGTAACTACTCATTCAAGTATTTTGTATATATTTTGTTTTTTTTATATCTTCTGAATGTGCCTTGAGCATGCCTCTTCGTGGTGTGGAGGTATGGCGCCATATAAATATCCTTATGATTATGATTATTATTATTATCATACTATACAGCAGCTATCCTCACCCTTCTAGCTAGTGGAATGTTCAGCTCTGTGCACATGCTGTTGAGGCTCTTCAGGATTTTCTTCTCCCATGCTTGCTGTCATGAAAACAATGACCACAATAATCTCTCTCCAATTATGACTACATTATCATACATTAGTACGGGTCAATATTTTGAGTATAAAATCAAAAACGTGCAGCCTCAGAGCAAAACATCGCTACAATACTCTTATAACATGCAATACATCATACTTGACTTGAAAATGATATTTTAATGCTTACTCTCTGGTGATACACTACCTGAAAGTAAAGATAGTAACACAAAATATGTTGATCAAATCCTTGTGAAGTCATAACAGTTTATTTTACTTTAGTAGAACATGATACAAATGTACAAGATTACCTGTGCCTTCCTGAGATGTGCCAGTGGTTCCTTGTTCTGTTCTGGTGGGGCGTGAGGCTGGGAGGTCTTGGGGTGGGTCTGCATGTACTTACACACAGCATTCCGAAGTCGCCGGTCCCAGCCTGTGAGAAATAAAAGCAACACAATAACTCAGATTATTTCTTCCCAACCTGAAAGTGATTGAAACATTGTTCGGAACTAAATGGAAATATGTTACATGTATCTTGAGGGGGAAGGGGTGGGTAGGCGTAGGGGGTGGGTGTGTGTTTGAGGGGCATATAAATATGTTACATGAAATGGAGGGGGGACAGCAAGATAGGATACAGTCTTAAGACTGATCTCACTTGCCCTTAAAATAAATGACCAGTCCCTAAAATTAATTAATGTCTCCAAATGACGGTGCTTCCAATGTGATATCACCAGATTTATTAGGTTAGCCAACATGGTCAATGTTCAAATACAATGTAAACATGGGAAATAGTGCTGGGACTGGTCGGGTGGGGCCTGAGTGGGACCCGGGTACCCACAGGACTACACGGACCTGTGGTTAGTCACATTATATATTGCTAAATTACAATAACAATACATGTCACTTCTTTCTGACTATGCACTTATTCTTTCTTGCTCTTATACGTTTGAGTAAAGATAAGACTTCAGTCAACTTAAGTGTATGCATGATCAGATTGTTTTATATATGTATCTAAATAGTTTTTGCCAGGGCTGAGGTAAAATAAGTCCCAATCGGACATCTTGTACGAAACTCTTGAGACCTACAGTGGGTACCCGGTTAGGCTCGGGAAATTGGGGGTCGCGTACACGGGTAGTACATTTGGGCTTGTCCCAGCTCTAATGTGAAGTCCTGACATGCATAAAGTGAGATTGGCTTCAATATTGCATCGAATCATTTGTTAATAGGGACAGCATGACAAATCAGTAGTCCCAGCAAGTTTGACTCAAGTTGTTCAAGGGCTTCACAAGTCTGTTAGCTCAGATTTGTATCCCCTAGCAGTTGCTTACTAGCCTAATGACCGAGAGACAATGGTCCCGATTGATTGGTCCAGTGGTTACGTGGGATGTGTCTAACTGTGGTGAGGTGAATGGGTTTAATATCACATTCAAGATTATTTCACTTATAATGAGCTATATAGTGACGTGCATGCATGTGTGTGTGTATACACAATATACTAACTCCAACTACGACAATCTTTGTCTATTCCCTCAATGCCGAGCGCCAGGCAGGGTAACAACAAGTTCCAACTTTTAACAGCTCTAGGTGTGTCACGATCAGGGAATCTAACTACAGACCTTTGTTGTCTGGGCAAACCGCTATCCACTACACCACCAAGGCAGTTCACGTCAAAATTCGAAAAGTATGGTCTTACCACACCAAACAGAACCCAACGACACACATAATCCCCCATGCAGTACAAGTCCGAGAGCCATCAGGTACAGAGTTGAGTACAACACTTCAAGTACAACACTTCAAGTACAACACTTCAAGTACAACACTTCAAGCACAACACTTCAAGTACAACACATCAAGTACCTGACTGTACAAGTCCAGCTTGTACACCCTTCTTCAAGTCCGAGATTCGTAGACTTGCCTTGGCTGCTTCAGTCTAAAAAAAAAAGAAACCCAAAGTTTTGAAATGAAAGGAAGCTTAGAATTGATGCTAAATAAAAGCAATATGTATCGAGACAATTTCAGCAAATGTAAATAAAATTTGCAAATTGGAATTAAAATATTTATCCCTTCAGGTTATCACATTTGTAAATATAATTAACGTGAGTGACTGAGTGATGATGGCATGTCAGCCTAATGTGGGAGGAAAGCCCGAAGTGAAGCAGGTCTCAGACATTTACCACTTTGGGGAAACTCAAGAGCATGGGTATGGCGCTGACAAATCTAGAAACATAATTGGGTCAAACCCATGTTGAAAGGATTACGGCACGCCCAAGGGACACAACCCTGCACAACAAATAGCGAAACCAAGACGACTGGGTCACCTGTGCCCACCTAATAACGTTAACACGTTGCAAGGGTGACATGTATTTTCCTGCCAACGGGGTTCGGCTAAAAAAAACAGTCTTGGTTCTCAGGCACCACCCGCATCATCATAAAATCTGCCCCGCGTTTCGCTTATAATTCCATTTTTAAAAAAACAACCACCTAATTCTTAAAAACAAAGCAATCCAATATAGCATGCAGTTACTTCCCTGTGTACTACTTAAACTGTGCGTCTCATGTTATGGTAACGGCGGCAATAGGAGTTTGTATGCTTGTTTATGAAGGGAGGCCCTTTCCCAGGTTGATAGTACACAACTGTTTATCTGGTTACATACTAGTTTGAACAAGCAAATAAAAAAAACACACCACTCGCCCGCACTATATTTTCAAAAGTTACTGCCTGAGAACCAATTCTTTTTTTTTAAGCCTCAATGAAAATAGGAAAATGCTCTTCTACATTTTGATAACAAAATGCCAATTTTGAACTGAATAAAGTTTTTATCCCAGTGTGTATACCACGGTCACTTTAGTTTGGATTCCCTCCTGCAAGAGGAATCAAAATGTGCTGAATCCAAACATTTCTGTTGGTGTAATTTGTGGACGTCTCTGTTAGGCCCACAGCAGAACCCAGGAAACTTTTGAATGACACTGTAGATCAGACTATTTGATCAGACAACATTCACAAGTATTAAGTGAGTGAGTGTGTATGGTTTTCCAGGCTTCAGCAATATTCCAGGAATATCACGGCGGGGGACACCAGACATGTGTTTCACACATTGTACCCATGTGGGGAATCTTCAGCCTAGTAAGCCTTTACCCACTAGGTCGCCGAGAGCCCGCGATGGGGTCCTACAATCAAGACATGACCCTACATCATATGCATTTGTCGACAGAGAAGTACAGTATTATATATCGAATATACAAATAAAGTTAAAATGCATCCTTCGTGCAAGCGTGTGAAACATGTTTTCCCCAAGCAGAGAACAGCTTGTAGAAAACCCATACAGAAACAGATTATAGAAATTCAGCGCATGCACACACCATGTCAACATGTCAGTTCGCTACTGTAAAAAAACATGAAGTGAACGGGTTACCGGTCTGTTATTACCTCGAGTTGTGGTAATAAAATATGACAAGTACGTGTATTGATAGGGAAAGTATCTGGGAGTACAGCGATATTAACTTATCAGTCACAACCCTCGCGTTAAATTTTAATTTTTTTTCTTATAAAAATATGAGTGTAATCGGCCACCTCTGTCTGAATAGGTTTTAGAAAGGTGGTGTTCTTGGACGTGATGTAGGGTCATGTCTTGGCCGTTGGCTCGGATCTCGGCTAACCACTGAGGCTACCCCACCGCCCCTACACAATCAGTCAATATTTTACAGCTATTGTTGACACAGTTAAGCATGCAAACCTGCGCTGCATTGTGGAGATCTGTGTAGAGTTTGGACGTCCTCAAGTCCTGAAGGAGATCCAGGACATATTGCTCTTGATACTGTTCGACCATGATGTGACTGTTGTGTCACGGCATTCTGCACACAGTCGCACAGGCACACACTGCCAGAAACAAAACAAGTCATATTTTTAAAAACAGAGCTAGGTCGTCATGATTCTTATTGTCCTGATTTTGCATTACAACATTCCTAACAACTTGAACCATCATAATTATATCCCTCTCGGGTAGGCCCCCTAAATATATCCCATTTTTCTCTTGTGAAATATCGTGTTTTGAGGCAGGGTCATAACTGGAGGTGTCATCGTATTCAAACTATTAATGCATCCACATTTTGGAATAAAACAAACAAATTGGCTCTATTAGCTAAATAAAACATCAAGCCATCCTACCGATGTACCGAGTCAAAAATGACAAGAAGATGCGTAGCTTGTGTACAATCTCCCTGGCAATGGATTACTTCCGGTAAGTGCGAGGGAGCATTCTCTCTCCACTCGCAGCAACTACCCATTCACTACAGAACTGTTAAATCAATACTTGTGCACATCACTGCATTTATATTTTAAAATAAATTTTAATGTCTGCATTGTTTTACTGATTTAATTCAAAGATGGAACTGTACGTACTAAAAAAAATAACATAATGACCGCTCCCTGAGAAACGCAGCACTTCGTCCAAATCAATTTGTTTCCGAGCAGTACGTCCGCTTTCAACAATGTTTTTGGCTTGGAACCGTTTTGGCACAGGACAGTTTTATCCCATTACCTATTTTAGAGACAGTCCTGAAAATAACATCTCATTTTAAAATTGAGACATATTCTAATTAAAAAAAATAACGAATCTAGAAACATATATGTTGATATCTATGAGCTTTACCTTTCCCTTGGGGACTGGTCATATCTTATAGGCGTTGGGACTGGTCTCAGGACTACCTGCCCCAAACAATTTATGTAACATTTGTTCATGCCCTGCCAAATACATGCAACACTTTTTCCATGAACACCCAACACTCTCCGAAAAATCGATGACCAATATGCTTAAATTCATAACTTTTATATTTAAAAAAATATAGATCTAACGATTATTTGTTTTCAAGCAGCAAACACACAAAATAATAATAATAATAATAATAATAATAATAATAATAATAATAATAATAATATCTATACTTTATTACACTACACGAGGGGGTAGAGCAAACTTGATTACTTTTCCAAAATACCGAATTTAAGATTTGTGGGTTTGTCTGTTGTTTTACGCCGCACTCAGTAAATAACCGAGTCTGGAGCAGACAATCCAGTGACTGACATCATGAGCATCGATCTACGCAATTGGGACATACATGACAGGCATCAACTAAGTCAGCGAGCCTGACCACCCGATCCCATTAGTCGCCTCTTACGACAATCATGGGTTGCTGAAGACCCCGAATTTAAGACTAACTTAATTTAAGACTATTGCAGATGGGTTTAAAGTCAGTCCATGGCCAGATAGCTAGTCGAAAACATTAGCTTATATTTGATTTATGATGAAACAAAATATAATTATGTATATTAAATAAGTCATGATCAAATCAACTGAAACATGTTGAAATTTGCATTTGATTTTAAATGTAAACACACAAAAACACACACTCCACCCAGTTGTAAGTAGTTTTCTCCTTTAAGTGTCCTTTTCATAATATAATCATGACGTATTCTTGCCAACCGGAAGCATCCGCGACAAAACCTCATTATTGTAAGGCTGACATTCATTTGCGGTGAAGGTAAAATCTACAGTTTCGACCATATTTCTTTGTCGCTGGCTTTGAGACAAGTACAAGCACGTCAACCGTTTCGATATAGTGAGTGAGTTAGTTTTAACGCCGCTTTTAACACTCTTCCAGTTATATCAAGGCATGTCAGCTTAATGTGGGAGGAAAGCCCGAAGTGATGCAGGTCTTAGACGTTTACCACTTCGGTGAAACCCGGCCCACTAGCACGGGTATGGTGCTGACAAACCTAGAAACATAATCGGGGCGAACCGGGATTCGAACCCATCGATATAGTGAGGTGAGGTGGAATAGGGTCTGACGTCGCGTTCAAGGTTATTTCTCTTGTAAAGAGACCTGCAAGCTTGTGTCTGTGTGTTGCTGCTTCTACTAGTTATGATTAATATAGCCGGGTTTATTTTTGGACTGGTGTATAGTGTGCGTGCGTGCGTGCGTGCGTGCGTGCGTGCATGCATGCTAATCCAAACATATGCCGGTTTTAGAGTGCTAGTCCACTGAGGTATGTCTTTAGGCTGCAGTTTAATATCATGGATACCCCACTCAGACACGCTATTCTGATTCCTAGCCGATGAGTCATTTAAATTTTGTCCATAATGCCGAGAGCCAGATAGGGTCAGAATAGGTACCTTCTTTTAACGTCGTTTGGTATGACGCGGTTGGGAGTCGAACCACTGGCCTTCCGCTTTCCGGGCGGGAGCTTTGTCAACTAGACCACGGGGGCGTATTATTTATACTACATTTCTACCTGTATTAACGTCATAGACAAATGTAATTTCATCTTAAACATTGCTCAGATTTTAGTATTCCAAGATATATTATGTCTTCAGCTTTTTTTTTAAATAAAGAATTAACAAATGTTTTAAATTGTGAATGAAAACAGGAACATTGTCTTGCCTGTACTATCCTAACCTCTGGGCATGACATTCTTAACCCTTGGGCCTCAGGTCATTACCGTCTTAGTACTAAGACATGCTTACCTTTACTTCGTTATTTTATGGATGAGGCTGTTGATACTGATAAACGAAAGGAAACCTATTAAAATTCTTAAAAAATGCGCCTGTTGGAGTCTTTAAAAAGATTTTGCCAAGTGGGTTTTGTGATACTGTGTTCTGATTTCCGTCATCCTCACTCAAAACATTTTAATTCACTTATGTTACCTAAAATGGTTGATCACAAAGGTTTTTACTGCCCGGTTTGTATATATGATTCTTGTGCTTGTGCCTAATTTACTGAATTCCTTTAATGTTAGTCATATCTTTGGGGAAGTTACGAGTGAATGAATTTGTCGCAATTTCACTTAAAACCCTTCACACTGCGCGGCAGTTTGATGTGGGAGGAAAGTGATCACAAACCAAGAAAGATAATCAATCAAATAGCCAATACCCTTCCACTGATTTACCCACCTGAACCAGAAATAAAGGAGACCAGTGACACCGAATCGCCTGTTTTATATTTATATTTATGCAGGGTGACAAAACAAGTTCCACAAGGCTGTATGACAAGTGGGATGACTTCCACTTACCAATTGTCAACTTTCCCTTCATGTCGAGCAATATCCCAGCAGCTCCAGTCTTTGGTTTCTACATTTCACAATTATTTAGGCATAATCGAGCATGGCCTTTGTATGTAGATTTCAAGGAGCGTCATATGACTCTTGCTCAAAAGTTGTTTGATCAAGGTTACATTTTAAGCCTCAGTAAAACGTTCAAAAAGTTTCATGGTCGGCACGAAGAGAACATATCCAACCTTGACGCATCAGTGACAAACATTATGTCCGCTTTAGACCTGCAGTATAATTATTTCCTGTGGGATTGTTTTCAGGTTAACAATTTACTATCCTCTGCATGTGTTTGTGACTGTCGTCACCGTGGGATCAGGGTACGCTCACCTTTTTGAGAACACCTGGCATCATCACTACCTGATACTGATTCATAAACACATGGTTACAATGCAGTCAGAATCTACTGTTGACGTTCATTTCTTTTGGCTATGGAGAGTTTTTTTGTCCATTTAACCCAATATGAAATTAAACGTACCTTACATAAAAAAACATCTTTGTTTCACCAACACACTAGTACTGCTGTAATATAACAGTTGGAGATGTTGTGGGAACTCGTGTATTCGTTTGGCGTTTTTTTGCCTCTGTGCATCATTGTCAATGTGCTTCCAACTGACTGCCTTTTGTAACCAATTATTAATACACAACGTTTAGAATTAGAAACATTTTAAATATTTTGGATAAAAATGCAGGAAAGTTTCTTAAAGAAGTGTTTCTAAATGCTGAATTTCCTTATTCTTATTCCACATGATGTATAGTAGTCAAGTCATGAAACAATCGTTGCAACATGTCTCTATCCAATCATTAATCTCATCACGTAGGTGACAAAAGCAGAAAACGGAGTTTCTGTGAATGTGTCAGTGCCGACCATCTTCACGCTTACTGAAGTAAAAGCCAAGACGACATTGAGGCATTGAGTACGTAATTTACAGACCACACTCATGTAGTGAGCAATACACGCATGACTTCAAGCATTTCTGAAAGGGATACATGACTTGGAATTATTAGTTAGTACTTGTCATCATCACCTGGTATATGTTGAGAAACAGTTCTAACTTGGAATATTCAATGCAGATTTATCTGTACAATATATTCAAAAACAGTAAAAGAGTTTTATATTTTATAAAGAGTACAAACTGAAGTGACTTGGAATTATTAGTTAGTACTTGTCATCATCACCTGGTATATGTTGAGAAACAGTTCTAACTTGGAATATTGAATGCAGATTTATCTGTACAATATGTACAAAAACAGTAAACGAGTTTTATATAATTAATATTTTATAAAGAGTACAAACTGAAGTGACTTGGAATTATTAGTTAGTACTTGTCATCATCACCTGGTATATGTAGAGAAACAGTTCTAACTTGGAATATTGAATGCAGATTTATCTGTACAATATATTCAAAAACAGTAAAAGAGTTTTATATTTTATAAAGAGTACAAACTGAAGTGACTTGGAATTATTAGTTAGTACGCTTCATCATCACCTGGTATATGTTGAGAAACAGTTCTAACTTGGAATATTCAATGCAGATTTATCTGTACAATATGTACAAAAACAGTAAACGAGTTTATATTTTATAAAGAGTACAAACTGAAGTGACTTGGAATTATACCCAGCTAAACTGGACAGTTTTCTACTCGTACAGATCAAGCGTGATTTGAAATAAAGTATGAATGAAATATATGGAAATAGCTACATTTGTAAATTAAGAATTTCATGTATGTTTGAAAAAATAAATAAATACTGAAACTTTTTCATTCTTGCATATTTTCTTAATAAAACACTAAAATTATTACAAAGTAACGCATAGCTGATATTAATATACAAGTCCCATTTCTCTATCTACCTTGATAATAACATTACAAGCATTTCGATTTAATAACATCAATTCCGGTTTGGAAAGCACATGACCAATGCGGAACTTTTAATGAGAAAGTCCTTTGCAGTGAGTTATCTTTAATAATGCCGTTATAAGTGCTTCCGGTTTACTAACGTCAGTTTGGGAAAATACATGCCAAATGCTGTGCAATTTGGAAACAGAAAGGCCCAAGCATCTTGCTCATTTACTCACAGTCGAAGAAGAAATACATCTTCAGTCTGCACAGTCTCAATACATAATTTCACTTTCACTATATATATATTTAGTATATCTGCATGCACTAGATGGAACGAATATTCCCGGAACCATATTTGCAATATCCCAGCTATTATTGGTGGTGGCCTGAGTCTTTGCCTGGAAACAGTGATTGATATTATGAGCAATGTTCCAAGCCGTTGAGGTACAACACTCGGAATATTGTTGCTTGGGCCACTTTTCAGATCAATATGACAACAGAAGGAAGTAACTGACAATTGATTTTCATGGTAATACATTCCTGTTGAGAGGATTCATGTTCAGTATCATACCAATGTATTGTGTCGAGCAAAATCATCTGATCGGACACTTTTGTCTGGTATCAGTGATAATATTTAGTTTGAGACGAAGCTGTTTTCAAATTATACGAATTGGAGCAATTGAATATTTCATTATTATATCAGATTCAGTGTTTCATTAGGTATGAATTAAGAAGTTGTACATCTTTAACAACATTTAATGTTATATTTCAGTGTGCACGGAGAAGTTCAAGGTGTGGAACTATAATTTTCCGTTTGGCATGAGCATAGTCTTAAGGCATTATTAGAACACAATACGCATAAGTGTGTACTTGTACTTAAATATTGCAGGTCTAACTTCACACAATTAGACTATTGCCTGCTTGGCATCTTATGAATATTCCAATTGTGTATGTCCATGCAATTGTCATCCGATGCCATTCCAGTAACTCAAGGCCAATAAAATGTTCTAGTTGATCATTGTACTATAACTGAATCATATGATTCTTTCATTAGACACTCATCCCGTCCATAACACGTAGGCCTTGGGTGTGATCTCATGTTACCTTAAACATGAGTACGGTACAGAGGTTTGTCATATCTACCTTACATGGCGTGATGCTCATTTTCGGCTGAATAGGTTTAATAATTCGATCTTAACACTGCGTCAGATATCGGTTACGTATAATAAATGACTAAACCTCAATGTCAACAGCTTGAATGTCGCAGATGATTAGTAACTGTTGATCATGACTGCCCATGCCAATCGCATGAGAGTATTGATTATTAAACAGCAATAGACATATTGATCATTCATCCAAGTGTCTTTGTCTTGTATGCTACAATATCTAAAATGTTGCCTCCCTCTTATACCGTGGGCATAAAATGAACAAAGCAAAATCAATGTTCATATTATTTAATCCTACCATCATGAGTCAAATGGAACCGATAGTTATCATCACAATGATGAAAGACATGACGATGGACCAAAAAAACAACTAACAAAGGGAGTTATGGTTAACAATCAATTTGTTGTGCATACCCAAGTAACATGATGTGTTAGACTTTTAAGGTGGTATATTGACCAGGGTGAAAATCGGTTGTTGTAATTCATATTCGAACAGTAACAGGTGATGGAAAAGTTGAATATGATTTGTCTGAAGATGGACCAGGATCCGTTAGGTTAGTTTAGCATAGTCTCCCTACTTGACTGTATGGACCCAAAATACCGACACACTTATGCATGTTGGGATAGATTAATTTTGCATATTCCTGCGAGGGATCCGTGTACATTGCTATATACATTGTGACACACTCAGTTTGGTACAGCTTCGATAATATACTTTTTTATTGTATCTAGGTAGATACAGGTACAGATTAGACATACTGGTGTTAATGCTCTGGGTGCCGTTCCACAAAGCGATCTTAGCGCTACGTACGCTGTCATAAGTCTACATTAAGGTATGGGAGTAACGATCATCTTATCGCTAAGATAGCTTTGTGGAACGGGACCCTGGAGCGCCATGCCTAACCCAAGCTGGGCTATAGGTGAGACCTTACACTCGTTTCGTCTCTGAGCCAGGGCTTCATTGGAAAAGAGGAAACAGACATATAAACATGTTCTGTCCAAGCCCGCTGTCATTCAAAGTCTGGCTGCCCTAAATGAAATGTTTGCAGTTGTCCTGAAAAGGCATCAGATAACATACTCCGTACATGTAAGCATCCGACGTGATATTGCTGAAATATTGCTAAAAGCAAGACTGGTTTGCGTTTCTTGTGGGATCCTGACGTTGCTAAGAAGTTGTTTAACTATTTACGTTTCTCGTCCCCTGACCGCATACAGTTACATATGTGTTTTATACTTCACTCAGTAGTGAGCGAGCATGGTTTTACGCCGCTTTTAGCAATATTCCAGCAATATCACGGCGGGGGACACCAGAAATGGGCTTCACACATTGTACCCATGTCGGGAATCGAACCCGGGTCTTCGGCGTGACGAGCAAACGCTTTAACCACTAGGCTATCCGACCGCCCCTACAACATTCAAGACCTCAGTAGAGCTTTCAAAACGTTTTGTGGCTGGCATATTTTCAACGTTGACATATCAGTGACAAACATGATTTCCGATGCAATCTCCTTATTTGACTTGTGTTACATATGGTCCCGGGGGGCACGGGTGGCCCAGTCGTCTAAGGCGCCGCGATTCGCCTTGCAGAGTTGCGTCCCTGGACACGCCAGAAACCTATGATTGTGGGTTCGAATCCCGGTTCGCCCCGATTATGTTTCTAGGTTTGTCAGCACCATACCCGTGCTCATGGGTTTCACCGAAGTGGTAAACGTCTGAGACCTGCATCACTTCGGGCTTTCCTCCCACATTAAGCTGACACGTCGCGATATAACTGGAATACTGTTAAAAGCGGCGTTAAACCCAACTCACTCACTCACTCACATATGGTCCCGTGCTATTACATGTGTCTTTGAATATGTTTCTGGCTGGTGTCACCGGTGTGGCAGGATACACCACACGGACACCTGGTATCACCAGATAGGTTCATAAACACATGCCCATTCAGTCGGAATCAATGGGGTCTGCTTTTGACTGAGATTCCTTATGAATATGGAAAGGTTTCTTTGAGAGGCATTTAGAAGTTGAGTGAGTGAGTGAGTTGGGTTTAACGCCCGCTTTTAACAGTATTCCAGTTATATTGCGGCGTGTCAGCTTAATGGGGAGGAAAGCCCGAAATAATGCAGGTCTCTGACGTTTACCACTTCGGTGAAACCCACGAGCACGGGTATGGTGCTGACAAACCTAGAAACATAATCGGGGATGAACCGGGATTCGAACCCACAATCATAGGTTTCTGGCGTGCCCAAGGGACGCAGCGAATAGCGGCGCCTTAGACGACTGGGCCACCCGTGCCCCCTTAGAAGTTGAAGTACTAAGTAAGTATAAGATATACCTACACCGAAACGTCGCTCCTAATTGTAATAAAGAAGTTCTTCATCCATATATCTTATCCTTATTTAATATGGAAAGGGTGTTGTCGCTTTTATTTACTTAATTGTTTTTTTTTCGGAAAACTGTTGTGATCATTTGCTCACGCAGGTACCGGTGAGTGCCAGTTACATCTTATACTATTCCGATATCGAACGTATACTGATCCAATGGGTCCTGGTTATCGGGAGAAATTAATAGATGAATCGATATTTAGCTTAATCATAGATCGATTCATATGAGGTATCAAATGGAATTAGATTTTTACAAATCAGGATCAACCATTCGTTTGTGTCATGATATAATTGTTTGTTTTATCATTATTATTACGTTTTCATATTATTGTAATGTACGTATTGCCCGTGTATAAAGTACTGCCATATGATTCATCTATCAAGTTTGTTATATATGTGCGGCCTCACATACACCATTGTCACAGTTTAGGCAGTGTTATATTAATATCGTATTAAATTTATATCGAATTTGTGGATTAATATATTGTATGACAGAGGTACGTTTGTCAACTCGAGAATATGGTCCTTAGTTCAGCTACACCAAGACAGATACTACGGCCGCCGGTCAAATATAAAACATATCATTACACAGCAACGCATTTTTCTATCGTATGCTGAAGAAAAATAAATAATAACCCGCATAAATATTCAGTATATAATCCGCTTATGAATTTCGAATAATTCGCGGGTATATAGTCAAAGGCAAAATGAATATTCTTAAATTAAACATTTAGTCAAAAGCTACATGTGGTAAGACCCGTGAAGATTCCGGGGTAGAATAAGTCTTCAGCAACCCAACCCAGCAAGCTTGCCGTAAAAGGTGACTACGCTTGTTGTAAAAGGCGACTAACGGGATCGGGTGGTCAGGCTCGCTGACTTGGTTGATGCACGTGTTCGATCCCAATTGCGTGGATCGATGCTCATCATATCGATCACTGGATTGTCTGGTCAAGACTCGAATGTTTACAGACCGCCGTCATATAGCTGGAATATTGCTGAGTGCGGCGTTAAACAACAAACCATCAACAAACAACAACATGTAGTAAGGCACATACTGCGCCACAAGATCACAACATTTCACTCTCTTAAACCAACTTGGCTGTCTCAATGAGCACGAATCACCAGGGACATATTTTGCCCTGCAAGACTCACATTGTCTAGGAGGAAATACTACCAAAGCCTGTAACATTTGAAAGTGTACTGAAGTTAAGCGTCCACCATTATTGTTGGAAATCTGCAGCTCAATGTCATATGTTGAATCCGGCCTCCTAAATGTCAATCAGGTTGTGTGAAATTCGCAAATCGTCCTGTGGTACGTCAGTCATGATACAGAATAGGACAAGAGGCGTTGAAATGACGGTTGTTGGATATGTATTGTATGTTGATTAGTCAATATCGCCCACCTGATTATAATGAGCCAACGGGACATATATATTACATTTGATTCTAACACGTTTTCAGTCTGCCAGATATGGGAAATACGCTCTAGTGCTGCATCGATTGGTACTCCCCAACGAGGCATTCTCATAGCCAAGAGTGGTGTGAAGTATAGTCAAGGCGTAACTCGCTCAGCTGTCCGTCACATGGCTTCTGTCAAGGTAAGGAGATATCTTATCATTGTGGGAACACATGGCGAATTCCTTCACATTGTGCAGTAGGTAATAGATTACTTGTTTGGAAATGTCAATAGGCACAGCGTTTTATTAAATGCTTGATTGAGAAATGTGACTTTTGTCTTTGACTAAATGTTTGATTGAAGAACATGAATTTTGTATTTGATAAAATGTTTAGATTGAAGAATATGAGGTTTGTCTTTGACTATATGTTTAGTTGAAGAATATGCATTTTGGCCGTGTCGCCTTTAAGATCTGTGTGAGCTTGTATCTGTAAACTCTATTAGAACACGGAATATTTTATTAATTTGTGTAATATTCTTCATGATATGTAAATAACTGAACAAAGTAGAATATCTTTACAAGTAACAATTCACGAAATTGTTTACTTTGAATAACGTTATTACGTCAGATTACCATTGTGTGTAACGTCCGTCTGTGATAATAATCAACATATTCTAATAATTAAGGCAAAAATCAAATTACTCCAAGACCCGATTCGTTTTGTGATTGATGTAAACCTTTATAGAATATTTTGACTGCATTTCTTAACACACATTATCCTATTCTCATTGTTAAATCCATCACCATGTTTGGGTCAAAACTAAATTTACGTACCGAGGATAATTGGCAGGGAATACGTTTGCTTCCATACTTGCGATACATTACGAATTTGTTTCCTCTGAAAATGTATCTAAAAAAGGAACAAAACATGCTTTTAAATATTTTTACAAGTCCGAACGTCGCCCATTTATATATATATGACACTGACCAGACGGCTGCATCCAGGGTATGACCAACTGAAGGGCTTAACAATTTCACAATTAATATGATCTTTTTGACTTGCATAAGACTCTGTGAAAGTATGTGACGTAGACCAGTTGCTACAAATGATAATAATATGTTGAACCAAACTCTGGTTAGGGCAAGAAACCTACGAATATAAATATCTCCCCTCCTCAATGTGAAATTAGACAAAGAATTCATCATCAATTTTTCATCTTTCAGATGAGGTCACTCTTGTTGGTTCTCCTGCTATGTGCAGGTAAGTTATTGTTTCCTTTTCTGATAAATGGACAGCACATATATCAGATCCTTATACATAGAGATTATTGTACGTGCATGTGTGTCAAACTGATTTTACAAAATCCCTGTCAGAATTCTCGTATTTCCCGATTGAGAGCGAAAGTAATACATGAATTCTTACACGAGTTTCGTAAAATCAGGATATCACACATGCGAGTGTTTAAATTCCTTATTACCAATTATATCTTAATTATTTTTAGTTCTCCTTTAGAAAAATGCACTGATCACGACCGCTGTCTTCCACAACTTTTGAATGACGCCCACAAACTTCAGCTATGACATGGTTTCTGGTATGACGTCTTTCCGACCTTACGTCACAACAAGATTGGAATGACGTCAACAATACACTCGGATTGACGTAAACAATAAACTGACGCGCAGTCATGTGATATTTCTCAAGTTCAAATAGTATTTTTATGATTTCGATTATTTCTAAGCCAAGGCTCGCTAAAAACAATGCTTATTCCTAATACAGGATATTCACCATCGCGTGATTACCTCTTTATCATATAAAGCTATTCTTAAATCTGTCGTAAAAAGCTGTCCTCATCTCTCACAAACATTACGTACACATTTGCAAGTTTTCCTGGAATGTGTGCATTAATATATAAAAGATCAGTGATGTGTCAGTCGGACATTGACAACAGTCCATACAGTTCCAACTGAAATCTGTTTCCTAGACAATGGCGTAACAACACATAGGCAAAAAACAATTGCCTGCGCATACTCTTTCTACTTGCCTTTCCAGGCAATCCATCGGTCTGCCCGTAAGGGTAACCGTCCTTTATGAAAGGGAAGCTACACTAACCCTAATCGATCTAATAGTCTGATGGACACACAGCGACAAATTGAAACAATGTAACAATTCGGACATATTTCAAGTGTTTAATATTGTGGGTAAAGCTTATGCAAAGCCGTAGAGGTGGTTCAAATATGGAAACCGATTACGCCAACCTAGTGTCCTCGCTAATCTGTTTCTCAATTTATATCCCCAAAGTTGTCAAAACTTGTAAAATGCCCGTGCTTCATCCCATTTTGAAACTGATTTTCAGTATCATTGAGTTTTGTTCAGATACTGATGACAATTATCCCAGACGTTTGTCCAACTTCCCGATGGCTAATTCTGACTCGCTCGCCGACTGACAAGGGCTGCATCATGTTTGTTAGTAAACACTGAAGTTAGCCCATGGAGATACTCTGCCGCAGTTTAGTATGGCTAGCCTGCTCAAGCTCAGTTAACAGCCTCGAGGCCACAAGTTGTATCCCTTAATGCCGAGCGCCTGGCAGAGTAACAACAAGTACCATCTTTTAACGTCTTTTGGTATGACGGGGTCTGGTGTTTTGGTAGAAATTAGGAGACTCAGTGTAATAACAATAGACAAAATAGGTAAGGTATGTTTCGTTAATGCTGGGGTAATGCAAGTTCACTCGTCTAAAGCGCCGCTATTCGCACTTCAGAGTTGCGTCCAATGGGCACACAAGAAATCTATGAATGCAGGTTCGAATCCAAGTTATGTTGTTAGCTTTGTCATCACTCTATCCATGCAGGCTTGGTTCACCAAATTAGTAAATGTCTGAGACCTGCATCACTTCGGACTTTCCTCCTACATTAAGCTGAGTTGCCGTGATATACTGGTAACTGGAGTACTGTTATGAGTGGCGGAAAACCAAACTCACTCACCTACTCATTATCAACCATTTACGCTTTTGTCAAGATCAGGCATGTAACCGAGACTGACTTTCTGATCCTTCTCATCAGCTCTTACAACAGGGATGTTACACTAGCTGGCTATTCTCCATCCCCGAGTGGTCAGACAACATCACGTTATGTGTCACAATGACAGTCATAAAAGTTTTTAAAAATTCAATGGCTCCTGGTTTCCGCAATGTTGTAAATATGAACGTTATGATGTTTGGACAGCTAGACGTGAGAAACAGTAGCGTATATGTGTACCGCCTAGTCACATGACATGTTCATCTCGACAAGTGACCTGATAGCGTTGATAGTTCACGAGTAGCACAGCACGACTATTTCATCACCAAATACATAATAATGGATTTTATTCACGAAATAAGATAGGGAGAGGTGATATGGGGTTTCACGTCGTGTTATACTTTGACACACTATACCTACTCTGAGCCGGTCGGACTTTGTTTCATATCCGTAAAACCGCCGTACAAAAGTGCCGTACAAAATTATATTTTATCTTTTGGTATGACGCGGCCTTCATGTGTTATCGTAGTATATCATATGGTTGCTTTTCTGCATTCGGATGACTGCCCGTGAATGTGTTTTTGTTCATTGCTATAAACATAAACGAATACACTCTTTAGACAACATTTACATATTTATGAAGTCACTGTGTATAATATTATTCATGATACATAAATAGGTTGTCGACCGGTTCATCTTGCATTTAGCTAATCCAGCTGTTCCTTTCCAAATTCGATAACATCTGGCTCGTCCGCCCGCTAATCATCCAATCAATTAACCAACCCACTCTCAAACCCACCTATGTATCAAATGTTGACGTGCTGTTTTCGTTGCTCCAACCATGACACTTGTAAGAATATTTCCCAATATTTAACCGGTTTTTCTCGTTTGTCTTCAGGTGCTTCAGCGATGCCAAAGGGACGACGATTCGTTGCAGCGTTCTTTGAACAACCATACCAAGCTTCAAGCCTGCCAAACATGTTCTTTGTCATTCTGTCTGAGTTCAATGCCACTGTTCACGTTGAGAGTGGATTCGGTATTTCAGAAGATTTACACATCCAAGGCATGGTGGACTACAAGTACAAAGTTGATGAAAGTTTTTATTACCAAGCCAACCTACAGGTGACTGACATGTCATTCTACTTTACATCCACTGAGGAAATAACCTTGTTCTGTTATCACGTACTTGCTAATCAAGGAGAAGGATACCTTGCCTTGCCGATTGAGACTTTATCCACGGAATACATTGTAGTGACACACATTGATAATCACACAGCTTCTTACCCTGAACTTCCCTACACAAAGGCCACACAGACTGCTTTCCTCATCATCGCTACGGAGAACAATACCCAGGTGGACATCAGTCTTAAGATACAAGGACCCCTCATGGCAGGTGGGTGTGGCAATGGGACATTCTTCAATGGGGAGAGTAGAACATTTACACTCAACAAGTATCAGACAGTTGGCGCCTACTGTGCCGAGGACATTACTGGAACACTGGTAACCAGTGACAAACCCGTGGCTGTGATTAGTGGGCATAACATGAAGTTTACTCCTGGCATTAAAGATGGCATGCAAGAAATGTTGCTGCCTGTGAAATCATTTGGAAGAAGCTTTTACTTTCCAGTACCACCACCTAGTACTGGTGGTGCTATATACAGAGTTGTTGGATCAACAGCGTCGACCTCCGTACGCTCCCCGTCCGTCAGTGGTATATCTTTCTCCGTGGGTGCACGGGAGTCGCATGACATAACTGTTGATTCTACCACAGGTCCAGTGTACATTGAAGCCGATAAACCAGTCCTGGTTGTGCAGATGACTATAGACACCCCGTCACTGGCAGTAGTTCCACCGACTAGTTTATACTCGAGCTCTTATGACATTGGAAAACCCGTTCTTCATGCTACATATGACCTGAAAAAGGTTTATATAACAGTCATTGTTCCCACTGACAAGGTTCTCGGGATACGACCACAGATATTTCCCCAATTCAAAGTTATTAAAGGCAGCTGTTTCTCTGAGGCATCAGTGGAGTTGACATCACCAGGATTCTACCGCCTGACCCACGTAGATGATGTTCCATTTGGAGCTATGATGTACATGTTTCCGTTTGTGGACAGTCGGTGTGTATATACCCATCCGGCCGGAATGAATCTGACAAATGATGTTGGTAGGTACAGTATCAACGTTCACAATAGCTACCTGTCCATTATCAAGTTATCATTTTAACCTGTCAGTTAACGTTGAAAACTAGTAACAGCAAACACTGCTTGAACGTTGGGGGTATTGAGAAATATACTTTTTCACATTAGGATCATAAGATGTCGTACCCATACATCACAAAGCTTGTTTTGAGTTAGTGTCTGTTTGTTCTTTTTGTTTGTTGACGTCGCACTCAGCAATATTCAAACTATATGACTGGGGTCTGTGGTTACATGGGTCTGAACCAGACATTCGAGTGATTGACATCATGAGCATGGGTCATAATGAACATTGAAGCCAGAATTCAATATAGCTTGTGAATGTGGATAAGTCTTAATTAGACCATAGCCTTCGGGTCACATTACAAGTAACAAGGATTCCAATTTAGAAACCTCTAGTGCGGGATCAATCGTTTTCATTGGACAGATTGAAATATAGAATAGGTTCACATTGACATCGTTTTTAAAGCGATTATGACATAACATATAGAACTCGGATGTTCATTTCAAGCTAACATTGTAAAAGGACATATAACTTGCTACCGATCTAGCCTCTTTAAATTCTATGTTTTTATTGCATCTTTAGACGCTTTAATTTAATATCAGGTCTATGCCCTGAGTGAAAAAAATTTCAATTTGCCCGACGTTCATATTGATATTAAATCCGTTTTATATGAAGCAAGTGTAATATTCTATTTACAACAACATATTTAATTTGAAAAGGGAACAACGAAAACAAGCAATTTCATTAACGTGTATATTGCATCTAGAAAGGTCAAGTCTATAACGCTTGTTGACCTTACCCTAACGGTTTTTTCAGTTATGTCATATGGCGCTGTAAAACATAGTTTGTAGTTTACGTTTGTTGCAGTAAGGGTACACGACAAAACCAGTGCCCCCCCCCCCCCCCCCCCCCCCCCCCCCCCCAACCCTGACTCCGAGCTGACCTATCCTTGGGTTAGCGCGAGGCAGGGATACATATACCATTATTCAACTCATTTTGATATGGCACGGCCGAGTATTTAACCACCGACCTCCGCACAGACTCTCTGTCCACTACACCACGGAGGCCGCCGCTGTCTTTCCTTCTGCATGGAGGGGGCGGTCGGGTAGCCTAGTGGTTAAAGCGTTCGCTCGTCACGCCGAAGACCCGGGTTCGAGTCCCGAGATGGGTACAAATGTGTGAAGCCCATTTCTGGTGTCCCCCGCCGTGATATTGCTGGAATATTCCTAAAAGTGGCGTAAAACCATACTCACTCACTCCTTCTGCATGGCTGGCGATGATGCTAGTTGAAAACTAATAACTAAACTGTAAGTTCACACCAAGCGAAATTGTGAATACTCACCGTCTTAGATCAAGTACAGTAAATCGCCCCAGTCCGGTTATTGTTCGTTTCACGTCGTTAGACTTGAAAATCAGGGCGATTGCGCTCCGTCCAAAGCTTAAAGAGAATGGTTACGGAATCGCAAATGACTTGACTATAGCTCAACGGAAGACGCTACAGGAGCTACGACGTAACAATAAGCGCGGATATTACAAGAAAGGGGTTCTTGTGGTTGAACATATGCAGACTACAGATAGACGTCATGAGTCTCCACCAGGCCACCCAGACACAGACCAGGCGACTTCAAAGACTCCGCCCAGGGCGGGTGTGCCAGCTAGTGTCCGAAACCCACAGAATGAAGATGATTTTCGCAGATAGGGGTGTGGCCAAGGCCGTAACTGTAACTCTAATACCAGACTAACCACTTCTTTTGTATTCTGGAACATTGCTGGACTACAATCGAAGCTCCACGATACTGACTTTATCTCATTCATACACCAATTTGATGTCATCAGTTTATGTGAAACATGGTTTTCCCATAGTGATAGTCAACTATGTTTCCCCGGATATATTACTCACTCCATCCCAGCTGAGCAAATATCATTTTTTGGGCGACTGTCAGGTGGTCTGGTTGTTTTGATAAAACAACACCTAGTCCAATATGTGAAAGGTTGTGTGACCGGTCCCAACGGAATTTTCATCGTACTGGACAAGCGCTTATTTTGTTTGGGAAAGGACACCATTGTAGCTTGTGTATATGTCCATCCTGAGGGCTCAACCTGGTATAAATCGGCTACAACGAAGTGTGGTATAAGTTTATTCTTTGAATCACTACTTGACGTGTTACAAAGATTTGGAGACTGTAGTATTTTGATTGGTGGCGACCTTAACTCTAGAACTGGCACAGATCCCGACGGAATTGAATGTGACATTGCCGAAAGGCTTGGGATTGATGATTTTTCGGACATTTATGATAATATTGATATTAAGAGACATTCGTGTGATTCAAAAGTTAATAATTTTGGTAAAGTGCTATTGAATGTTTGTAGTGCTTTAAATCTATATATTTGTAATGGCCGATGTGGTTCGGACGCTGGGAAAGGAGACTTTACATTTATAAGTCATATTGGACAGAGTGTTGTTGATTATATCATAACAGGCCCTGACTTGTCTACATCATGTGACCGCTTCGATGTCCTATCTAGGTCAGATTCAGATCATCTGCCTGTTGTGTGTTCATTTGTGTCACGTGATATGGCTTCTGTGGGTGCTAGCTTATGTAATGCACGAGATGTGCGTGACAACTCCCGTTATGTGTGGAATGAAGATAAAGTGTCAACATTTAGAGATGTATTACTTTCTGACAAGTCAGCTTCAGTGTTTGATCAGTGTAATGAACATATTTTATCTGGAAAATTTGATGATGCTGTAACTTATTCTCAGATTTATTAGGTAATGCAGCAGAATGTATGCGTAAGTTTTGCCCATCTGCTTGGTTAGTCGATAAGCAACCTTGGTTTGATAAAGAGTGTGAATTTCTTAGATTTGAAAAGCAAAGACTGCTTAAAGTTTATAGACTACTTGGGGATCATTTGGCACTTTCAAACTATCTACATGCAAGAAATAAATATACAAATATACTCCATAACAAAAGAAAAGCCTACCAAGATAAAATTCTTAGTAATATGGTGACAGGCATACACAACAGCAAAATATTTTGGTCACAATTGAAGCTACTCTCTGGTGAGGGAAGGAGACGCTCTCCTAATATAGAACTAGGAGATTGGTATCAGCACTTTAAGAACTTATTTGGTGAATACTCTTCTTCAGAGGTTGAGGAGAATTTAGTTTTTGACGATGTTAATTTTGACGAAACAACTCAGAGTATTCTTGATTCCCCTATTTCACAGGATGAAGTGCTTGATGCGATTACAGGATTGAAAAATAATAAAGCTGCGGGAGATGATGGACTGATAGCAGAAATGTTTAAGTCTTCTCCTGATGTTCTGGTTCCTTTTTTGACATTCTTCTTTAATGCTATATTTGATTCTGCATATTTTCCCTCATCTTGGGCTGTTGGCCACATTGTTCCTATATATAAGAAAGGCGATGCCAATTCTCCCACTAATTATAGGGGTATCACTATCTTAAGTGTATTCAGTAAACTTTATATTTCTATTTTAAACAGAAGACTTCAGTTTTGGTCGGAATCCTATGATAGACTAGTAGAGTCTCAGGCTGGTTTTAGGAGTGGATATTCCACAACTGATAATATTTTTGTTTTATATTCAGTAATAGAGAAATATTTGGCTAAGAAACGAGGTGTGATTTATGCCTTGTTTGTTGATTTTGCCAAAGCCTTTGATTCCATAGATAGATCCAAATTGCGTATGGTACTATACAAAAATGGTATTTCTCCGAAAATGTTCTGTTGTATACAGTCAATTTATAAACAAGTTTTGGCATTGGTCAAATACAATAACTCATTTTCTGATATGTTTAGCTGCAGTAAGGGAGTTCGTCAAGGATGTGTCCTTAGTCCCATTTTGTTTGCCTTGTTCATAAATGATCTTGCCATAGATATTGAATCCAGTTGCGCACATGGTATCCAATTTCATCCAGATGTAGTTCAATTGTTTTTATTACTTTTCGCAGATGATGTCATTCTCATAGCAGATACTGTTTATGGTCTCCAGAAAAGAATCAATGTGTTAGAATGTTATTGTAAAGATTATTCATTAACAGTCAATATTGATAAAACTAAAGTAGTAGTTTTTAAAAATGGGAGTGTTCTTTCAAAATATGAAAAATGGGTTTACGATGGAAAATTGTTGGAATGTGTAACTACATATAAATACCTTGGTGTATTATTTTTTCGAAATCTATCTTGGAGTGCACATATATCTAATGTTGTTAATCAAGCTAAAAAGGTTTTGTTTAAGCTTTTGAAGTCCCTACAGCTAATTAAACCTACTCCTATGAATATTTTCTTTAAAATTTTTGATGCTAAAGTTGTGCCAGTACTTCTTTATGGTGCAGAAGTTTGGGGTTTATCTTTATCGTTTTGCGAGGAGATTGAAGTTGTTCATACACTTGCTTGTAAACGTATTTTAGGAGTTAAGTCAGCAACTTCCAATCATGTTGTGCGTGGAGAGTGTGGGAGATACCCTTTGTATATCTATGCTTTCAAAAGATGCTTGAATTATTGGTGTAAGATTTTAAAGATGCCCGATTCGCGTTATCCACGAAAAAGTTACAATATGCTTGTGCAGCAGGCCATAGCAGGTAAGACTAATTGGGCCTCTAGAGTTAAATTACTTTTGTACGCCTATGGCTTTGGCTACGTATGGGAAAAACAGCATCTTGTTATTTCTATTTCATTTATTGATGAGTTCATACAAAGATTAAAATGCTCTTATGAACAAGATTGGCATTTTGCTTTGACCAATAGCCCCAAGTATTCATCATATCTTTGTTATAAATTTAGGTTTAGCAGGGAATTTTATTTATCGGCTATTACAATCAATAAGTTTCGCGTTGCACTGGCACGTTTTAGAGCTAGCTCCCACTCGCTCCACATAGAAACCGGGAGATATTTTGGTATCCCAAGACAGCGAAGGTTATGTATGGTTTGTAAAACAGGC